ACCCCCCAGAGAGGTTTACTGTTGCATTTTTAATGCAGTACTTTAATGCAATGACTCATGTGGTTTTTAGGTCATCTCAATCATTTCCATAGACAGATAGATTTGTGATTTGTCAATAGATTACGTAATGAAGCTCTTAAATAATTGGTCGAGCATTCGACATGAGAAACACGTAAGGCACCAGACAAATTTCAAACGAAAATGTTCGCGCGGCGCATCGATAACATACTACACTATATACCTACTTTGTTAAGGGGAGAACTCTCTTCATCATCATTACAACATAGTATAACACAAAGTCGCTATCGCTGTCTGTCCCTTTCCTTATGTATGCTTAAATCGTTAAAACTTCGCAACGGATTTTGAAGCGATTTTTTTAGTAAATAGAATTATTCTAGAGGAAGGTTTATATATGTAATACATGTACACCTGTGCGAAGCCGGGGCGAGTAGCTAGTTAAAAAGAATTGTATTTATTTATGATAATTTAATGTTTATGGAGTAAAAATCAAAATTTGTACCTACTAAGATATTACTATAGATATTGTTTTCACAACCTGTAATTTCTCTAGCATATTTCTACCCATAGTTCAAGCTTTGCATAGCTTGGGACTAGATAATGTTGTCTTTTTTGTCTAAGGGTATTATTATATATTCATCATTGCCTTGACTTTATCCCATTATTTGGGGTCGGCGCAGTATGTCATTCTCTTCCACTGCTCTCTATCGGTCGTCATATCTAAACATACTCTTCTTTTATTCATATCATCTTTCACACAATCCATCCATCTTTTCTTAGGGCGTCCCCTCCCTTTACATTCATCCACATACACATACACTTTCCATAAGACATGGTCCTCATTCCTCCGCATAACATGCCCATACCAGCTCAATTTGTTACCTCGCAACTTTTCTATAACCGGCGCAACTTTCAAACTTCCTCGTATATACACATTATATATTACGTATTATATATTATTTATTAATAATAACCCAGGACAGGTTCCATATATATGGGTGCTTCCTTAAATATATTTATTGCTATCAAAACTAAGGTAGTTTCCTAATATGCTCACTTAGGTAAATTACTCAATATACATAAAAAAAAAAATTAAAGAAAATTACTACTATTAAAAAAAAGTATTATTTTAGTTTGTAAATACTTATGACATTATTATAAATGTTTATATCATGCGACGAATCGAACTCACGACCGTCGGAAGTAAGGTGCTACACCGCTAGTCTACCGATCTTTGACTAACATAACAAACAAACAAACTCATATTAGCATTTATTAGGTTCACTGGATATTCCGATAGTCCTGCCCCTTAATACAATGACATTCATATTTAGATGTATCTACATAGAATTGATTAACTAAATTTGTCATTACAAAAGTTATCAGCATCAACTAACCAGGATTTTATGTAGCGATCGTAAATCTCAGGTCTTAAATTCACTTGACAAGCGCGGCCGTATGACGTACCTTTTTATATTTTACATCATTAAACTTCGTCATAATATGTATATTAGATGACCCCGCAAATGTTGTTTAGATTAAAATCGCTATTAAAAATTAGGGGTTGGTTATAGACGTGTAAAAATTTAGGGTTATATGTATATTTTAATGTCACATTATAAAAAAAACAATTGTCGAAAAAATAAAGAAGACTGATATAAATACATAGTTCTTTTCAAATACATAACATACATAGAAAACACACAGACCGATTCAAACAATCATACTCATGAATATAAATGTTTGTGCCGTGCGAGGAATCGAACTCGCGACCATCGGAAGTAAAGCGATGTGCTTAACCGCTAGACCACCCAGGCCGTCAATATTAAAAAAGATAGTCCAAATAAATATAATCTGTGTAATAATTGGTGATGTATAGATATGTTTAATCAGTTTAATAATTGATAATGTAATGTAATAATATTACATTACATTAATATTCAAAGACGGGTATTAAGCATCGTAACAACCACGGTTTAAACCCACCAGATGGTCCGACCCAACTTACCACTATGACCACTATTCTGTGAAGATTTCATTCCAATCGCCCACTTGTTTTTACGTGAAAACTTAATAACAGATAAAATAGTTATCGCCTTTTACGATTATATGATTTCATTACATGTAAAGATGAATAAAATTAATAATAATTTAGTAACTCATAATTTCCTTTTTTAGTAAACAGTACTTATATATACCACAATCTGTATCGTCTAGTTATAAATTAACATTTTCGAGTTTAAAATACGTAACCCATCATGGATAATACTATATTTATTTAATTTTAATTCGGATTACATCCATATTGTGTTAGTAAAAAAAACTTATAAAACTATGTTAGTAACTTATAATATACATATACGTAGATATATTTAATTCATATATCTGTGTCCACGTCCAGAAGCACTGGGTCCACAATGCAACGTTATCCAGTGCCTCTGGAGCGGACAATCAGGTATATTCGCAACAGTTTTTATATAGTATCGAATTGATTGTAATGGTTTATTTGCTCTAACAGCACATCTAAATATGTTGCGCATGCTTGAATTTTGCCTTTAGCAATTTTTTGGCTAAAATACAACTTTGTTTTGTCGACGTTCTGATACTTCTAACATTGTACACCATCACACTCGTATGTGTATAATATGTTCAATTCATTAGCTCGTTAGCTCGTACTCATGCAATGTGCTGAGCAGCTTGTATAGAATCTGAAAGGTTGGCGGGAAAGGGATTAAATACTGCATTAACAATGGTTGAAGCAATTGCGACGGTGTCGCAAACCCTTATCTGTCACCACGATTTTCTTGAAAGGTTCTTCTTTTTTAGGACTCAACTCATTCTTGAAACTTAAGCTTGGAGGAGTAACATTTAGGAGGGATGCAACATGCTTACAACTATGCTTTACAGTACTGGGAAGTGGAAAAAAAACAAAATATTATGGCAAGTCGTTTATTAAAAGTAATAGACAAATATTATAGTAAAGAATGAATTATTAAATATAATATTGGCACTTTTATTTGTACCATCCGATTAGTATTTAAAATACAGGTTTGTATCAAGTTTAGCTAACAAGAATTATGTACCTAATAAATTGGAAGGGATTATTATTAATAAATTCACAAGACTGAACCCGCGACCGTCGGACTGTTAAGCAGTATACTTAATCGCTAGACCACCGAGGCAATTATCAATGTGTTTTGGTTGAAATGTGAATTGGTAGTCAAATCAAGTAAATCTAAATATATATAACTCAAAGGTGACTGACGTAGTGATCTATCAACGCACAGCCCAAATCGCTGAACGGATCGGGCTGAAATTTAGCATGCAGGTAGATATGACGTAGGCATCCGCTAAGAAAGGATTTTGATAAATTCCACCTCTAAGGGAATTAACTCGAGCGAAGCCGCGGGCAAAAGCTAGTATAATATATTTATCTAACATCAAACCTATCACTAAACAATCCTTACAAACCAGATGCCAATTTTGTAACATATTCAAGAAATTCTTTTTTGATACAAACTGAAAATTAAACTTTTTGGAATATGTATGAGTCATTTGACAGTCGCAGTTACGAAACTTACAACTGGGTTAGTAATTTTTACTGTCAAACGGTCATGCATAATCGCAAATCTGACAATTATTTAGAGATCGTAAACTATGTGAAGACCTACAAAAATCAGCCCCATATTCCATTAAGGACTCGAACTATATATCCTACTTAAAATTTATCCTTATGTATCTATTTGTTCAATTATAAACAAGTACAATTAAATAAAATATATGAATAACCCCTGACAATAAAACTCCTTTATCAGCTAGAAAATGTTGACAGTGTTCAAATGCTTAAATACATTTTCATAACAAGATTGAAATTCCCAAATAAATGTTAATAAATGATATGATAATTATCATATCACATCAGGTTAAAACAAAAATAGCTGATGATGACGTCACAGACAGTCAGATTCCTCACTTTAAACTAATAATACCCATTATTTAAATTATTAACCGGGTCTTAACACGAATAATTTTATGGTAAATAAAGGTATTTACCTTTCTTGACGTTTCGACTAGCCGTGGTCACGAGCTGACTGAGTTAGCTATAAATCAGCATAAAATTATTCGTGTTAAGACCCGGTTAATAATTTAAATAATGTATATTAAACACGAAAATATAAAAGTAATAATACCCATGATTTCCTCAGGGGTTAAAAATATAATTTAGACACAAATTAAAAGCTACCTTTCAACATACTCTACTAGTACATTTATTGCATAAAAGTTATACACCAAAATATTTTTTTGCTAAATAAAAATTATTTGCTCCTTGATTAATATATAGTCATGTATTGTTTGGATTTCACATTAAAGTCAATTTTAACAGAAATACGGTAAATCCAGCTGACATTGCGGAAATATAACCAATTATCATCATAGCAACATTGAATTCTTAACTGACAGCAGCATTGAACTCTCAACTAACGAAGAACAAAACACACATAAGAAGTCGATTGTTGTTTGTTCATTAGTAATTACAATGTATGCAACAACGCATAAATGATGCATAACTTTTACTAAGAACACAGATAATATAATATTGCTAAAACTAAATGGTTTACATTTAGTAAAAAAATTATAATTTCAATCAATATATCACTCTACATGAGATTACTAATCCAATGCAACTGCCCTGCAATGCTCAGTATTATATACTATACTATGTGCGCTGACGCATGGTGCGGGTGACAGTTGCCTGTATGACGTCTTATGTACTAACTAGCTGTTCCCGCGACTTCGTCCGCATGGAATTTAACTTTATTTTTCTAAAATAAAAGTAGCCTAAGTTACTTCTTATTACATCAGCTACCTGCCAAAAAAACTCCCGTCAAAATCGGTCCAGCCATTTCAGAGATTAGGCGGACAGACAGACAAAAATTGAAAAACATGCTAGTTTCGTATATGTACCACATTTATATTGCATATAGTAAAAAACAGCTATTTCAATTTTACAAACAGACACTCCAATTTCATTTATATGTATAGTAGACTAGAACATTCTGGTTAAATTTAACATACTACAGTTATTAATGATTTAATATATTATGAATGTGGTATAGCTGAAATACTAAGTCATAATTTCCAAATCTCGACAAATTTCAAGAGTGAAACATGACTGAAACTGTCACTCGCAACATGCTGTAGCACATGGTACAATATTAGTAATCATTCACACTGATTCATTTCTTCAATAGTCACTTTTATCACTCTACTAAATTACTAAGTATTTTGTACAATTACGAAAATTAAAAATTACTTTTTAATTGCAACATTAGTAACTAGTAACAATTTCAATAAAGAAATCATTCAGTCATATTCCTAGAACATAAAGGCATGAACAAATTATTCCATTTTTAAACAAAATGTGACAGCCCTTATTAAAGATAATTACTTACCTAATTAAAAACCAAATTACTATTTGCTTTAAAGTCATTCTAGATTTAATCAGGTGGGATTAGAATAAAATAAAAAAATATTTTAAAATAGCTGTTCCAAGAATTCTATTTTCAAATATTTTTTATTTTTAAATAATGGTACCTATGTACCATTTGTCTATAAGCACAGGAGTGAAATATCCAGCCTTTGCTATACAGCAACTTGTGTCTTATTACTATATCTTTCTGAATCTACACAATAAGTAAGAAATACCACAGCATTTATTCTATTCTATTGAATAAATTTATTTTAAGAATTAAAACTATTAAACAGAAGAGTGACAGTAAATGAGATTGGCTGGTCAAGGATAATACAAAGCCATAAAGCTATAAAAAATTACATGAGTGTAGATAGCAGTGAGATACTTAAGATGTATGTATGTTTGTATGTAAAAACAAGTTATTGTTCTAAAGATGTATATATTGACATTATAGATACTATGGACCTTATGTTTAATGAACATTATGACTACATTTGTTTGCAACTAATGTTGTCTAAACATTAGAAAACAGTGTTAAACTGAAATTTCTAATCCCATTTCATTTTAAAACTGTGTCCTATATTCTGTCTTATATTTTATGTATAATTTGACAATCATTTATGTCAATGTACTTCACCAGTTACATAATTAAAAAATAAGTAATGATGATCAGAAACTGCAATCGGCTGACTGCAATTGTTTCTCAAATAATCTCTTCATCTTTTCAGGCACGGGTACTCCAGAATGTGCAGGTTTAGGTCTTCGTTTCCAAGTTGTTTTCTTGGCACTCTTTGTGACACTGCTTGGGAGTGGTACTGATTTATTCTCTTTGGGCTTCGGTGTGGAGACTTTAGGGACTGTGCTAGTCCGTGGTCTCATCTCCATTGTCTTGTTATTAACTGAAAATAAAGATAAATAAAGATGTTCTATTTTTTGTTTAAGTATAACAGATTAAATAAATTTAAAATGTCGTAATCCCATAAAAACTATGTTATCAGTGACTAATATCTATTTTATTGTTGAAATATTAGAAACCCCTACACTAATAACACTGTGGATGTGTCTCTAGACTGTACATAAAATTAATTATCGGATAGTACATGTATGTATTTGCAAAACAAAGGACAGGACAAAATCTTTAGTGGAGGCCTATGTCAGAGAACAAGCTGTATCATTTATAGATTAGTGAAATTTTATCTAATATTTTAATAACTATCTATATGTAAAACTTAGTATAGCAATAAAGGCTTTTTATTTTTTTAATATAATTTATTTAATTATATTAGATACATACAAATTATAAATGTTTAGCCGAAGACTATAGTTTTAATTTAAGCAAATGTAAACAAAGGCATAGTAAATAAACGGTTATAATAATAGCAAACGTTACGCAGCGGTCTCAAATGGTAAGGTATAACTTTTAAAAAAGTACAAATAGCTTTTGTAATATACAAAAGGGACTTACTTTTAAGAGCAGTCTTCTCAGTTACTTTTTTGGCAGTCACGGATGACATGGTCTTTTTTATAGCCGATGTCGGAGTTGATTTTAACTTTTTCGTGCTGGATTTAACAATAGCACGCTGTACTTTTGGTGTTGATCTGGTTGTTTCTCGAGGAGCCATTACAAACTTTTTCTATCACTTTTTATGAATGAACTGTCAAAATTTAACTAACAAATGAATAGAAAGACTAATAAAATACAAATTCTACAAGGAAGCAATAACGTTCAAAATAACGAACCATCAACTAATTATGGCAACGGTATTTTACACAATTAGGATATGCCAAAGCGTCTGACATTGACAAAGTCAAATGCAAAGTTAGTGCAAGAAGTGAATATCTTACGTAACTGGAAGCGACAATTGATGATATAATAATGAATAATTATTACAAAATAATTTTGCTTTAATTCCATCTGTATATATATATGTATTTCTTTTATATTAAAAAAAAGTACATATATAAATTAAAAAAAACATGATTTGTATAGAATACAGAATACAAACATTTGTCTTGCAGTTTTAAGTATCTCAATTGTTTCATCCGAATACTGCGTTATGTGCGTACTAGTAAAATCTTATTAATATACCTAAATATGTACTAGATAATATTATTTTTTTATCCTATAAATATAATACAACAACACTGATGGCTAATTAAATTGAATGAAATGATGGACTGATAATATTAATAAGTAAGGGCAACATTAATATTTGGCGTCCATCTTTTAATCTTCTGTGTGTTGTGTTGTTAACAAAAATTGATATAAAAATACTCAAAGAGCTTTTACTCATTTTATAACAGAGATTTTTCATTCAAGATTTTATTCCGGAAGTTATTTCATCAAATTTCCTCTTGGTACGATCACGATTGTTTGATGCTTATCAAAAGTGTCACAGTATCACTTATTCGTTTGTTCTACAAAAAGTTTCACCGTATTCTTTGCTATTGACCTAGGTGCTAATTGGTGTACCAACCTTCATGTGTTTACAATGGAATTCTATTAATCGATACTTTGATTTTTCGCCGTATTTGCATAGAATATTTGGAAATTATTTCGTAAATTATTATTTTGCTATTGTTTCAACAGATGCAGTGTACAAATGGATAGGTTGAATCAGTTGCGGGGCGAAGCGGGGTGTTCTCGGGATTCGACACTGGATACAACCTCGCCGCCGAGCGAGGCTTTCATGACCGCTAACGAGAGCTCCTCCAAGTACTTCTCTCTCTCAGAAGTGGACTCAACATTCGACATTTCCCCCATAAAGGATGTATCGTTGCCGTCGACCACCATTAGCACGGATAGCACCGTCAATGACTCGGACCAACTGATATCTAATTTGTCGCCAATTGTGAAAAAGAATGATCTATTAGATAGCTATAAAATTGGCAAACAAATTGAGGCCGCTAACATTCTCTCGGGCGGTGTAAACATATTTGATGACAATGACAACTCATATGATGGTGATGAGCTCATAATTGATGACAATGTTGATCTTGATGACAAATCTAACTCGGACATAAAGGATTCTGATACTGTTCAATTCAAACAAGGTGATAATACTGAAGTTACTGCAGTGAACACAGAAACTGCGACTGCAAGCAAGGATACAGAGGTAGTATTGCAAATAGATGGTAAAAATGTGGATGCTATTGACATTGGGAATGGACTATATTTGTACAGGAAAGAGGGACAGGAGGAGCTCGCAGCGGTACAGATAATTGATGATGATCAGCAACAGCCAAGTTTTAAGTTTCTCAAAGTCCGGTAAGTCTATATTAGATTGTATATTATCATAATTTTATGGTACATTAAAGCTGTTATCAAATATTACTTATTTAAAAAAAATCTATATTTTAAATTGAATTCTAATTGGAATAGGATTATGTTAATTCTGAATTTAAAATAATATAAAAAATAGGTTTTACAATAACTACCATAGACTACACTTAAACAGTTTGTTACAAAGAGTATTTATAAATAACCATACTTTTAGATAAGGTAAAAATTAAAAAGATATATTAACTGTTAGTTTTCTTAATCCACTAAATATATTTTCAGTTTTCTATTTTTGATATAAGTTAATCTTATCTATGTTAATATTATTATACTTATTTGTTTATATATAAATTACAATTATTACTATATGTAATTGAAGCCTTATATATTATTATTTATGTATGTCTGTTCATTCTATTAGTATAATATATATATATCACAATATCTCCTTTTCATATTTTTTGCTTTTCTCATACATGTATGTATGGCTAGTTAACACATTATCCTATAACATTTTCTAGGTTTGCTGGAAGAAATATCTTTTCAGAGATAAGCTGGCCCTTGTACATTATATTTACATTATTGCTGTTATTTTTTCCTATGTGTGTGTGTACAATAAAGAACAAATTCTAAAAAGAGAATGGATTTTGTTGTAAGCAAAGTAAACTCCACAACTATTGCACTAATTGGAGAATTTTTTTCACTGTTTTATAGGTAAATTATTCTAGGATCACATAGGCTCTAATAATAATAATATAAGCGTTTAGATTACAGTTTCAGACTACATATTTTTTACAAATGAAATCAAAATATCATTATTCATGTAGGTCTATTACAGATTATTATGATATGTCAATTGTACCATCAGTTCAGAGTGCTTTATAAAATGTGTGTATGTATAATAAAGTCAATGTAAGTAATTAAGTCAATACTATATACCTGAACTTTTTGCAAGGGATAATAATTGTAACCTCATAGTGTATGTCTTGTTGTTTGCTCAATTAAATAAATATCTAATTATGCATATACAACTGGTCTGTATGCCACTAATTGGCAAGGACCTCTTTTAACATTTTCCATCTCTCACTGTCCTTTATGTACTCTTACTCTTGTCCATGAGCCACCTGTTATAGTTTTGTCATCAACACTTCTCTTAATTTTTTATTTCTTGTGCTCATCTTGTTAAGCTCTTAGCAGATTTGTTGTGGAAACCTATTGACGGGAGAGATCTCCCTCATTTCTTGTTGCTGTGACTAGTGAAATAATACATGACTATTGGTGGGGAGGGAATTATTAGTGATGCAGACTGTCGACCCCATTGCTAGCAATATATCATATTAGGTTGACCTCCATGTGGTTCTCCCTAGAAGCCAGTGAAATTACAAATTACGGACACAACATCTTTTTCTTCGATTTGTGTGATATGATATCATGGTATTCATGGCACTGTTAATGGACTTAATATAAATATATACAGGGGACCGTATAGAACATACCATCAGTGGGCACCAGTCAGCTGTTTGCTAATCCAATTACATAAAAAAATATTTTAATAGTAAAAAGTATAGACAAAATATTACCACAATGTAGAGTGACTATACTTCGACTAGAGACAGCGACTGTATATTGGTCTTGTAATGAATTTCCACAGTTTAATAATAATATTGGAATTTGAAGATAATGTGGCAGAAAACCATGTGTGTGCCCATTACATTTTTAATTTTATTATTTAAGTGATTTCATTTTTCATGAATAATATTTTGTGAATAAGAATAATATAATATAATTTGTGAATAAATGTTTTATTTGATAAATAATAATGTCTTTAAGAGATGTTTAAAATCATACCATTAGTTATATTCCAAATGTATTTTTTATACCACAATTAGTGGCTATTAAGCATATGCCCCATATGATGGTAAACTATAGCCTATGGTATGAATGCTTGAAAATAAGAGTGATTTTTTTATTACAGCTCTAATCTTCCACTTAACACATATTTATCTAACATATAATTATTATATTTTTGGTTTATTTATTTTTTCTTATTATTTAACCCCCTCACTCAAAAGCCTAGGGGAAATAACAATTAATTAATTGTATACAAATATTGTCTGTATCTCAGAGTTCATTTATCTCCTGTTTCCATGGTAACATTTAAAAGTGATAGTGAATGTACCCATGAACAGTCAACATCCGTTTTTGCTTAGTGTGTTAATTAGTTCTTGATATTCCCTAGTATTTTATATTTATTTTAATGAGATATCACAGATATGAGACAGGTGTACCATTCCGTTAAAAGAAATAGTATTTACTTTCTAATAAAGGAGTGAACTTATTTCAAAGCTGCAAATATTTAATTGTCATTAGACCACATAAACCTGTTTATATAATAAATTTGATCATTCATTATATTTTTAAAGCAAAATAATCAAATACAGTTATTATATTCTATTGTGTCAATTAAGATTGAGTAATTAATTAAATAATTTTACTTAAATTGATTATTTCTTATGTATGAAATTGTAATTTTTAAATTTCAGTGAAAATGCTGAGGGAAACTTAGAAGTTTATGAGGAAATACAAATAGAAGTAACCAAAGAAGTGGTAAGTAAATGTAAACAGTGTGTTACAATTTAAAACTTCATTAAAGTGTTTGTTGCATATATAAATAAATACTACTTTATTGTCACATAACTTAACCAGTAGTTTTGGTTTTACAGCCTACCAAACAAGAAAAGAGTGTGAATAAGAATGTACCACATGTTCCCATAAAGGACATAAATAAAGTTATGAGTGATCATTCAAGCAACAAAGTTGCTGAAAAAGATAATAAGGCTCTTTATGAAGAGCCAACTTCAACGAAAAAGGACATAGAAAATGAGCAAAATAAGGATTTACAATCAGAAACTAAAACTGAAGTAAATGTTAATGGAAAGATGATGAAGTTTAGTGAAGCTAGAAAATCTCCCTTAATTGGTAGCTTCACACCAATGACTTACCACTCAACTCCAAATAAGGAAGGTATTCCTCTTACAAAAACCATGGTGGACCAACAGTTACATCCGAATAGGCATTCAGATAATATAAAGAAAACTATTGAAGTCCACACTGATAGTTCCAAACAAAGAACATTAGAATCGCAAAATAAATTAAAAGGGATTGTTGGTGAAAATAAATCACCAGATTTTACTGTCGTATCGAAAGAAACAGAATGTTTAAATGAGAACTGTAACAAAGATTTAAATCCTGTCAGTGCTGACCCAGTTAAAATCGTACAAAATCATACAAGTAATGAAAATAAATATACAGAGGAGGCAACTAAAAAATCTAATGAAATATCTACTATTCCTAATAGTATTAATGAAAGTGAAATTAATAAACAAAAACAAAGTGTAAATGCTAATAAGACTATTGATATGAAAGAACAATCTATTGATGCAAATAAATTAGTAGTAATTGAAAAGGCTGTAGAAAAACCAGAAGTTACCCATAACAAAGCAAATGAACCACAAAATAAGGAAGATTCGATTATTAATTGTAATGATAATATAAACAATATTATTACTAACAGTGTTTCAACTAAATTAAACCCATTTGAAAGAAAAATTGTGGATACAAAAGAAAATAAAGAGCATTATGACAATAAAGCGGACAATAAAATACAAGATAATAAACAACATATTTTAGTTACACAAAATAAAAATGATAAAGTTACTGGGTCTGATTTGAAACCATCAGTTACACAGGCTACAGATACACTATTATTACAAAAACACACGAATATATCTGAAACGAAACATGTATCTAAAGAAGTGTGTATTATTGAAGACCAATGTAGAGATAATGTAAAACATGATACTTTGATGAAGAGTGAAAAAAAGAATCAAGAATTTGCAAGCAATGTATCAAATGAAAGTAAACACCCTACCGACGTAATTGATCAAAAATTTAAAACGGAATCTTTAAAAATGAATACAACAACAACAGAACATTTAAATACAACTGCAAAACCTCTTATCAATGAAATTTCTAATATTAATTGTACACTTTCCATAACAGACAGTAAAATTACGCCAAATAAAACGGAAGTGCAAGTTTGTAATGATGACAATAAAGACAAAAAAAGTGATTCTAAAGTGACTGTATCTGCCATACCAACCACTTCTCAACCCAAAACGGTTATGACAGATAAGAATGATATACAGAAAGTTAACAGTACCATACCAAAACCTACAGATTATAACCAAACAGGTGTTCCGTTTGGTCTATGGACAGAAGAAAATAAACAAGAGTTTATTAATAAAATGAAAGAAATGGCAGAAACCAAAGTTCCTACAACTAGTTCTAATGGAAAACAGATTAAAAATTCTAATGATTTGAATAGACGAGATGTTTTAAAAAAAATTGATAGTCAAAGACAATCCAGTATGGCAAAAACACAGGAAGGAGGACCCTCAGGTATTCCCAGACCAGGGACAATAAAAAAAGAATTGAATGTCTTTACTAACAAATCGTTAATATTTCAAGATAAGAAGGTAGTTATAAAACCTGAGTCTATTGTAAAAGTTACACCTATATTAATTAAAAACACAACAAAGCACGAAAATATCTCGAAATCTCTAAAAGAGACCCCTGACACCACAACATTTGTAGCAGTAGATAAAAAGGAAAGCACTCAACGAAAGGAAATTAATAATCAAGAATTAATTGATAAAACAATTGAGGGTATTATTAACAGAGTAGTCCCAAATAAACATAATACAGAAGAAGGTAGTCCAGAACATACAGAAAATAATACAGATAATTTAGATGATTTGGAGATAAAAATGAATAAAATACATGGAATATCATTTGGTGGAAAACCTCAAGATGAAGTATCCTCAGCGTCCGATAAACCGACTTTTAAAACATATTCAAAACTAGAAAGTGATAAATCTTTAATTAAACATAACAAATTGCCAAATTTATTACCATTTATCAATAAAACACAAAATAATGCCAATGAAAACGTTATAGATATTTATTCTGAGGAAGAAATTATAGAACACGAGCCAATAACGGGTGATATTGAACAAAATAAAAAAAATGTTTTGCTCAAAACATCAACAAAAGAGAAGATTCTATTACCCGAATCTCTGACTGTAAAAAACAATGACGATTCTAAAAAGGAATCCATTATAACAGAAAAAGATTTTGATAAATTTGCTAGAAGGAATTCTATAACATATGAAAATTGTTTAAAAGTTAATTTTGATGGTGGTGAATCACACAATGTGATTAAAACTGTCGTTGAAAAAGACGTCTCTGTTAAATGTAATTCTAAACAAAATAAAATTGAACCCAGACATGTTGACAATAAAATAAAACCAACTCAAAATTCCCTAACCCACATTCATAATAATCAATCTAAAAATATGTCTACAGCAGTTAGTGTTGGACTATTCTCAGATGTTTCTCATAAAACTTACCCTTCTAAAGTCAAAATGGCTTATCAATCAGTAATGACTGCTAAGCGACATTTAGAACAGCCCCTTACTTTTATTGAAGACAAACCAGTGAAAGTTGTTTATATGGATACCAATGTAGAATACATTCCAAGTCAATTAAATGTTCAAGGTAAGGAATTAAAGTCAGCTATGAAACAAAATCCTATTATTGATATGAATACTCACAGTTCCTGTGATTCTTTAGATTCAGACCTGATGGAGGCTAATGAGGAGGGAAAATCTCAAGAAGACATTAAAATTAAAAGCAGACATCAAAGAAAACAAGTTTTAACTCCAGTTGAAACACCTGAATTGGAACTTATTGAACCCGAAGATTTAGGATTTGATAACTCTCCTAAAAAGAAAAGGAAAACAGATGAATGTAAATTTGAAAAAAATACAAAGGCTATGGTTCCTAAGAAATCATATTTGCTAGGACGTAGCATTACAATAGCAGAAGATAAAGCAATTCATGTTACAAAACCATTTGACATGACAAAGAATCTCCTTAAAGATAATTCTAAACAACACCAAGCTCATCCAAGTCATAAAGATACTGTCTCAGCTATAGACAATTTAGTTCTAGCTGCAGCATTAATTGAAACACAATCGGAAAATATTAAAAATAACATTAGCAGTGTTAATAAGATAGATATTCAATCCAACATACCAGTTAAAAGAGGAAGAGGTCGTCCAAGAAAATATCCTCCTCCTGAATTAGAATCTGATAAGACAAAGAACATTAAATATATTCAGAAAAAGCCTAGATTAATAGACACAAAAGTGGATGACTCCTTTACAGAGGAAGACGATAGTAGTGATGATGGAATAGTGAGAGAAAATTGGACAATGGGTAAAATCAACGAAAATATTGTATGTCCGATATGTAATAAATTATTCAGATCAGAGAATGTTGTTTTCAAACACGTGAAACATTGCACAGGTCCTTCACCTAATCGATCTGAATCGGATCGAAGAAGATCGAGACAATCACAAGATTCTGTAACAACAGACAGTAGAGATGATGAAATGGAAACTTTCCAAGAGGATGTACCCAAGAAACGGAAATCCAAAGATAGGTCTCCTAAACATACCACAAATAAAGATGAAATAATTGTAATTGAGGACACTCCTATTAAGGAAAAGACTGTAAAACGAGAACTGAAACAAGAAAGGAAAATAATTAATAGTAAAACTTTTGATAATGTTAATAACCTTGTGTGCGAATTTTGTGGCAAGACATTTAGACAATTGTCATATCTAGTTAGTCATAAATTGCAACACAATAAGGAAGATTTAAAGAAATGCAAAGAAACAGACCACCAGACTTTCAAATCTGTATTCAGTTGTGAAGTTTGCAAGAAAGAATTTAGAAAATTACATCATTTAGTTCAACATAGAATTATTCATAATCCAAACAGCAATAATAGTGCTCGATTATCAAGGAAAAACTCTGTTGAGCGTAACGAAAATAAAATTGACAAAGCTTCTAACCGTACAGAAGATCCAAGCGCTGGATTCCGGTGTGAACCTTGTGACAAATCTTTTAGAAAACTCCATCACCTAGTTGAACATAGAGAAACTCATGATGGCATAAACAGACAAAAAATTACGTCATCTATGCAAGTGAATAACGAAAAATCAATAATCCCATCGCAATGTGAAATTTGTAAGAAAACGTTCAGGAAATTGCAACATCTTATTGAACACAAACAGCAACATTTGGAAACAAATTCGGAAAAATCTGATATTAAAAATGCAAGAAGTTCTCTATCAACAAGAGATATAATACATGAATGTTCACTATGTTATATGGTTTTCCCTAATGAACACTCTTTAAATAAGCATACAATATTTTGTCAAAGAAAAAAGAAGCAGTCTGCTGCAAAACAGATGAAACAAGAGAGTAATGATATAATTGAAGAAAATGGTTCTGATGAAAATTCTAAACAAGAAGAAACTATAATAGTAGGAAGTAGCGATGCGGAATCTGTACTAGAAGGAAGAAGTTCATGTGATAAGGAAGTTGTACTGAAGCAAAATTCAAATAATGATAACACTGTGCACAATGCAGAACTTCCAAAATCAACAGACAAACCGCCTCACGAAGTAGTAATAGAACCTATAAATAAAGCTATTATTCCACAACCTACAGTTGAGAAAAATGTAGAAAATATTGTAAAAACCATAGACAAAGATGCTAAAACATCGAAAAATCAATCTGAAACGCTTACAAGAGATACAAAAACTGAAGAAAAGGAAGTAACAAAAATTACGCCAAAGAAGAAGTTGATAAAAGAAAAGATCCAACCAAATATTACTAAACGTCATAAAACTATAAATGCGCCAATTCCCATTATAGGCGATGCCAAATCTATTGAATCTAGTGACGACGATGAGGTTCGATATATGCTTAACCCTAATTTCAAAGTTGACATGGACACATCAGAGGGAAAATCGTTTATGAAAGTCAGAGCTAAAAAGAGAAATTCACTTCAGATCGAACGGCCTAATTCTAAAGATCTAGTCAAAAGACGGATATCATTACAGCATCCGCCTAAAGTTGCCCGATTAAAATCGAAATCTATTGAAAGTCAAACTATGCCTACTAATACAAGTTCTCTTGCGAAAAGTGCAATTAAACCTGCATTCGAATCAGTGCCTTCTATAGATTCCGACGATAGCGATATTAAATACTCTTTCCCTAAAACTATCCCCGAAAAGACTCAGAAGTCAGGGACACATGAATCTTCAAAGGACGAAAAGAAAATAAAAAGAAAGCCTTTGGGAGAAAAAAGGAAATCGCTTAGTGGTATTGCGAAGCGAAAATCACTGGGAAAGATCATTGCAGCGAAACCCAAAATGAAGGCATCTCCTATAAAACAGATAAAAAGACGTAAGTATATCTGATTTTTTTTAAAGTATTGATTAATAATATGTAATATCAGTAGTCTTTATTTTAATATTTTAAATGTGTTTAAAGGGACAGCTGAAGCTGAGCACAGATGCGACTGTGGACAATTATTTAGCAGCGCTGCGCTGCTATCTCGGCACACTACCATAGCTCACACGCCACCACGGATACGTAGACGGCGATCACCTCCCCCAGAAATCGACACTAAAACCGTCGTGAAATCTTCCGCACAAAAATCGATCGTTATTGGTAAGACAAGAAAAAGTGTAGACTTGAGAAAATCTAGTGTCAAAAGCGACGCAAGCAATACTTCTACCAAACCAGATAAAACGACTAGGAAGTCAGTTGTTGACAAAAGTGATGGTAAAACACCTGCTCGGAAGTCAGGTGAAGCGTTGTTGAAAAGCGGCGTGTCTTCCATGAAGCCTAGGAGAAACGCCGCCCATGCTGGAGTGCCTGTACCCATAAAAATGAGAAAACTCATGGAGCGAATTAAAAAATAAACTTTACATTAAGTGCGGCAGGACTCGTTTGTTGCATCTGTACTAAAGCGAGAGTGTTAAGCGTTTGGACTGAATTTACATTTCCTAGAATATTTTTTGGAAATGGTAGGCTAGTTTATATTTAGGCGAATCGCTAGTTATAATTATATGTAAAGTCACGCATCACAACGCTCTCAATAATGTAACAGACGGACCATTGTATGTATCATAGGAATATTTTTACATGTTGATAAAGAGGGACATCTATAAAAAATATTTTTATCGTGCGTCAATAAATCGTTGATCTTGTTTATATGTAAATTTGAGAATATAAGATTACCTATAGTTATATTTTGTCAATTTGTTCTAGAGGTTAGGTATAAGTATATGTGTAGGAGAATAATTATTTATATTTTGTTAGTTATAAGAAATGAAGTAACCATTTTGGCATTACGTTTCGTTGTCTTTTGTACTGTCCATTAATATGCTCTATAGATTCATTTTATTTAAATTTAATTTGAGAAATATAATCTCCAAATTATTATATCAGAATATAAATACTTCTATCATAATTCACGTTATGATTTTCAACTGTCTAATATGACAACAAACTAAGGAATATTTGTTATTTCCAATATATAAAATTTTCTTGGATGTGTTTTAACCTACAAATTCATATACTGGGTCTATACATAAATATCTTTCTTATTGGTAATGTATATGCGTAAGAGGATATTGGAAATTGGATGAAGAATTGTGTGTCAAAATTTGCCATTTTATGATGTCTTCCTACCATTTTTTTTAAATTAATTGATATAATTCTTAATGATCACAGGATCTTCCGTAAACTCACTGTTTTTAGTTATAAATCAAAGCCTTATAATACAGGATAGAAAAAAATAAGTTCGCTACATTATTACCAAGTAAAACAATGAAAAGTGAATATTTTGTAAAAATTTTAATGTCGTTTTTGCTCTATTTATAAGCCCATATTTTGTTTCGCAACCAACCAAATATTTATTTTATCGGTTGTTTAAAGTCAATTTATAAATATTTTTTTATTAAAAAAAATACTGTCTTAGAAATTTGGATTAACTCAGTAAAAAAATGGGTTATGAAATTCATTTCTAGCTTATATTTATGGTTGCATAATTCAGATTTGATGTTACAATTTGTTATATAGTACCCTCGTAATAAAGTTCTATATTGATAGGCTCAGTTCACTCTTCAAACTGCCAGCAAGTTTACCAGATTAAAAAATAACTATACAGCTATGTTAATAGACAGTACGCAACCTGTGCAATTGCAGTGAACTGCTATATTTGATAATTTATATGTTTAAAACACATGTTTAGGTCAAAAAGTTTCTTCCTACATCACATTGCTTAATAATAAACTGTATTAACTCAATAATAACATATTTTGGAAAATCGTCTTTATCCTTTTGGTAATTAGATACAGTTTTCAAAATTGCTATTTTAAGAGTTGATTCAATTTATTATTAAGATTAAGATGTCATATTACGTTACCGAGTTTAATTTTGCATAATTGAACTATAATAAATATGTTATACTTGATGATTTTAATTTATGTATTTACATATTGTGTTGAATATAATTTCTATTATTAGAACATATAAAACTAAATAGCACAGAATAAGAAAATAATTATTTGATTCTCGTAATTGTAATGAGAATCATTATGTTATTATACTTTTTAAAAATTAATCTTTTTTTAAGAATAATTTATAAGTTTTGTAATTTGCAAGTAAATTACGTTTTAATTCAATTTTTATAATTAATTTGTGTACAGTTAGCGGCAAACTTTAACAGCACCATAGAAAAAATCATGCGCAGTATATATTTTGCATGAAGATTGTTACTTGTTGAATGTATTTTGTGCTTGTGTGCCACAGAAAGAAAAATATACTACTGCGCAAGGACACATTATATAAAAAAATCTGCTCATTTGTCAGTACAGTAAACATTAAGGGGGTCTAATTGTGTAACGTCGTTGAAACTGCTTATTGTTTCTAATCGATTTAAATGAAAATGTTACGATTATGTATGGACTTGACAGTTGCAGATTTAAGTGTTACAGTTTGCAATTGTAACTGTCAAATGTTTCACTGTTACATCATTTAAGCTTGCATAAGCGTTGTGTCCTCGACGATTTGAGTATGATTCTCGACAGACCTCCCACTTTCCATTTGTACCAGGCTACGACTACAGCCAACCATATCAATTTCCTAGTTATATATGATATTAAGTTTTCTAATATACATTAAATAACAAAAATAGTAGAAGTGAAACTTCAACGGATAAGTCTCTTTGTCTCACGTGATAGCGGACTTCCCGCTCTCTGTGCGGTTGCTGCCTTCTCTCCGCCGCCACCAGCCCTACTGTAACACTTTTTCGTGACCGGAAAATCTTAATGGGGCGTATTAGGGTCTGGAAGTTTCACTTCAAAACTATAAGATCTCTTTAATTTTCACATATTATATTACTGACATATCTTTAATACCATTTCGTGACTAATTTGATTACTATAGAATATATTTTGTGAGTTTAAAATTTCGTTCTATGGAATTGTAAAAATATATAATTACCGTATAGTGAAATGAAATAAGAGCTTCCCAATTAATGGAGTTTGAATTGTTTGGCGCGTCTATATACTTATGTTTTGATGATAAACCCCTTGTTCATAAAACCTGTTACCTCATTTAAATTATTAAAGTATTTATCATATTTAGAAAGGACCTTGGAAAAAAAAGAGAGATCTCTGTAAAGGACGGAAGATTAATGACGACAAAAAAGTATTTTTTTTACCGACTAATGTCATATATAAAACAATATATAGACAATAAAAAAGATATATAAAACAGTTTGTAACAGTTAAATTGCTAATATATGTTTATTAAACTTATGTTTTTATGAATAAGGGGAAAGAAAATAAAGATATATTTTTAAAAAGATCAGATATTTCTGATACACAATGAATTTGATAAAACTCGATTTAGATGAAATCTTAAGGGTTAATTAGTATACATAACTAGACCAAAAAACGGCTGTAAAAAGCAATTTGATATGTTTTCAAAAAATGTCTCCAATCTAGGGTGATGGCTGAGTTTTCTAATAGAAATTTTCGTTTAAACTCATTATTTTTAATTATTTAGTGAACTTATAGTATAATTAGATGTTGCATTATAACGGCGAGTGCAGAGCGAGCATTTTTAACAAAAATGTTTAGTTAATCATGGCTGTTGGGTAGGAACAGGTTGGATATATCCGTATGTTCCACTTTTGTTTGTGTCTAAATAATTTATGTATATATAATAGTTATATAGTTATGTATTGTTAATAGTTATATGTATAACTAGCTACTCGCCCCGGTGTACATGTATTATATATAAACCTTCATCTATAATCACTATCTATTAAAAAAACCGCTTCAAAATCCGTTGCGCAGTTTTAAAGATTTAAGCATACATATGACAGCTACAGCGACTTTGTTTTATACTATGTAATGATGATGATGGTCATATCCATTTATTTTCCATAACCAATTGCAGGCTAACGTGTCTCAAGCACTGGATGTATTTTATTGTGTTAGGGACGACTTCTAACAAAAATATGCTCGCTCTGGACCTGCCTACGGAGACTAAATTGTTATTGATTAATACACGAGTATTCGTAGCGTAATACTCTTTCAAGTTAAAATAAACTTGGACCAAATATGTATAACAATTTCTCTGTTTCTAATGGTAATAATAATAATATATATTATGTTGTTTTTAATTTTAAATAATGTTTATTATGCTCTCGTGACTAACAGTGTAAATGTAATTAATGACTAAAAGAGTAGACCGTCTCGTGAGATTTATGTTTTAGAAGCATTTAACATCAAATTAAATTTTATATGTAGATGATATCATTATTTTTAATATGATGATGCAATTTTGATTAATGGGTTATCAATAAATTGTCTAAATAAAATTGTGTTTTATTTCGATCTTTGTAATTTTTTTTACATAATCGTCTGATATATTCAAAAATAAATTATTTAGATTATATCATAAGAAATGTTATTTTGATGTATGTACCGTATATATCTTCATAGGCATGTAGTAAAAAACGGTTATTTCAATATTACAAAAGATTTTATTTATATGTATAGATATACATGCACTACATTTACCAAAAAGAATTTAGTAAATATACATGAACTAGCTATGTATCTTCCAGAGTACTTTTTTAATCATATTTATAATTATGAAGAGAACCGTGTGGAGGTCAAACTGACATGGTACATTGCTACAATTAGACCATTAATCCATATTACAAACAGTTCCCTTAGCCCAATAAATACCATTTGCCTACTTGGATTCCGAAGGAGGGATAATCTATTGGAATCCATCCTTAAACACTTTACTGGGTAATAGGTCCTAATTTATTACAGTAGAAAAGTCCGTATTAATTAATATGTATTATAATGACTATATAGAACATCAGACATAATAAAAGATCAGTTTAATTATGGATAAATATTTTGTTTATATTTACAGAAGTAATTATTTACATAAGTAATAATAATAGGCAATCACAAGTCATGCAGTGCCACCTAATTCCAGGCTAAGCAGATCTGCATAGCTTGGGACTAGACGATACAGTGTTGGGCTTGTGCAATACATTTCTTCTTAAAATATAGTAAAAACATAATATACATAAAAAACACCCAGACTGATACAATCAACCATACTCATGAATACAACTGATTGTTTTGTGGGTGGATTTAAACATCAGACTGTTATAAATTACTTAAAATTGTTCACAAAAAATATAATTAATGAGGCTTTTATTTATTTAACCCCTTTCACAAATAATATCTACTATGCTTGGTTCCATCAACTGGGGATCAACACATCTCAGTTGTGCTGATGCTAAGGCATCTTCTAACAAAGCATTCAACAGTCTCTCATCATTCCCCATACAGGACAGTCTTTGTTGCAGAAAATGGACATCCACTTGCAACTGTTGCAAGCCATGTCTTCCAAATGTTCGAACTCTAACACACTCTACTAATGCTTTCAAAGCTACTTTTAGTGCACCATTAGATAGAGCTGCCCTATCTGCCCCTGCAGGACTAAAGACTTCAATTCTTTCAGAGAAAATTCTATTTATAGGTGAGAAAGATGATGGTGCTCTGGACCAAATAGTGCGTCTACTAGAATCACTTGATGGCTTCATGCTAGTTGGGAAAAGTTGAGAAGCAGCACTGTCTGCACTTGCTAAAGTCTCTACAACTCTGCGACACACTGCCCTTGGTCCTCTTGGTTCAGGTGCCCGTAGCCAGTCTCTTGCCAGCACTGACACTCTTAACATCTGTGCCGCTGTCTGACCAATAAATACTACTTCAGAATCTAAAGCAGATTGTGCAGCTGTAGACAAATGAACCATTATACTATTTGTGTCTCTATTTTCAATAGTTAAACCAGGAGCAGCCTCTTCTAGGAGTTTTAGCAGGTGGCTATGCAGTGTGGTGACTCCATTATCTTGCATCTCCAAGCATAGCTTAGCAAGAATTAGTAATAGTTCAAATGGTATATTGTTGTTTGATGTCTGCAAACAGGCCATACTTTTTACCATTTCGGAAAGATTTGCTATTGTCTCTGAGATTATATTCCAACATGCATCAGCAACTGCTTTAGCACACCATGATTTGAGTCCAAATGAAAGATTATTTTGCAAAAATGCCATCAAATCTAAAAGTGATGCCTGAACTTTCTGCATAAGATAGATTTGTAAGGAATTCAGAATATCTTTGAGATCAGTGTGTTCTGTACTTTTGCTGGCTAGAGACAGTCTTACTTTCATCAAATTCTCTTTAAATTGACTTTGAATGGACTGATGTTGGATTGTAGCTTTGTGATTGATGCATTGTATTACAATATCAATGGCCTTATTGGACATTGTGTCACTTGAAATTATCTCAGTCATAGCTTGTAATTTCCTGAAAAATTTGTCTAATCCTCTTATCAAGATTTCAGTACCAATATTATCTGGACGTTTCACAACTTCCTCAAATAAGTGGAAGACCTGTAACATGATTTTGTCAGCCACTTCCGGTACATTTGTATCCTCATTATCCTGAAACATTTCATGATAGCAAGATATTATGATCCCCAGATCAGCAAGTAGTGTATTATTGCATTTTTCTACCCATTCTAAGATGTCTGTGCTCTCAACCATCCCATTCAGTGTCTGCAGATGTTTATCCAACCTACTCTCAGCACAACTTAAGAAAATATCTTTTAAAGATGAATCAGTTTCTTGCAGTTGTCTCAGCAGACCAACACTCTCAGCTAACTCAGATGCAGAGGTTTCTGGACTGAGCAATCTGTCTCTCAAAGTTTTCTTCAACTCATAAATGATTTCTGAACATTCTGTTTGAATACTTTGGAATGAGGGCTGGTTACCATACTTTTGTAGCACTCTCTGGGCGTGTGTATAATCATGTACCGCATCAGCATATCTGCTTTCTGTTATAGCTTTATTCAACTGAGTAGGCAGTAGGAATAAAAATTGCAGTTTATCCAACAACTGTCTAGTGGAACATAATCTACTTACATTATTACCACTCTCTTTTAATGACTCAGATATCTGTGCACTAAATGAAGTTATTTTATTAATATTCTCACTAAGTTTATTCATTTCATCTTGCATTATTCTGAAATCTGAACGCATTTTTCGTACAGTTTCGGTGGCAGATATAAATTTGTTATAGTTCTCGTAGACCAGAGTCTGCATTTCGGACTGTAGGAACTGGCTCTGGGTGACAACTTCTGCTTCCTTGTCCATGATCTGCCTGAGGGTGGCCCGTTTCATTACATATTCTAAATATGAATCTGCATTGAAATTGCTTCCATCTATGTCTAAGGGATTGTCGACTACTTCTTGAGACTCCGTCATGTTTCTGTAGAGAATGTTAAAGGATTTTCACAAATGGTTTTTTACTACAGCATTAGTATTATAGCTGTCTTTTTGTTACATAAATTACAGGATTTATTACTTAAGCTCTTCTATTTAATGTTTCAAAATCTACAAATATGATCAAAATATTCTAATAATATTTGACTATACTATAAAATAATAATGAAACTGTTGAAATTTACATTAATTGACAACTCAAGTGACAGCAACAAAATAATGTTGCTATAATATCGTTTATATTTTCCCTAAAATCTAATTTTGCCAAGAACCTCTTTTATCAAGTCCTCAATTTTCCCCAGTTTAACTTTCCCCTGCAATTTCCTTCGACTTAAAGTTTTGTATCCAAGTTAAACTTATTTAAATTGATGTCAGTACGATAATGACAACAAAAACACACAAGAATTACGCAATAGCATCATTACATTTATATTTTTGATTAGTTTTTTAAACATGTTTCACTGACATTTATTTTTAGAAGTAGATCTGAAAGGAAAACTATTAATTTTGTAAATATAAGTAGAAAAGTATTTCTACGTCACTACTAACGGACATACTCGTAAAAGTTTAGAATACAATTTGAGTTTATCTGGTCGTCGGGTTAGTGCGTTTAATTAATAAATATATACTAAAATACCTCCGCCTGGTAATTGAAGAATTTGAACTAGTATAGAGAATATCTGCTAAGAGGTATTCATAATGCACATTGTAATTAATCAATAATCGATTATGATACCATAGATCATCAATAAGAATAATAATAAAAGATTTATTAATAAAAGGAAGCATTTTATTGATTATAGTACCACTTATCTTAAGGTATAGGATATTTTATTCTTTGGTTATATACATACAAACCTTAATTACTTTACAACTATACATAACAGACTTCAATAACAATACATTGATGGAACTCATTTTGCCGTCAACATAAAAACATATTATTATTGTGCTCATAGCATGAAGTCACTACACACCATAGAAGTAAAGTCATGCACAAAACAAAGAAGTTCGCACACTGTACAGAAAATTATGCTCATTTTAGCAAACGACTTCAACATTTTTCAAAACAAAAACATATTTCGAATGCAATATGTCTATCTATAGTTTTAGAATGACTCTGAAGTACTAAGACAAATAATTAATAATTGTTAATTTCATCACAGACAAGATGTTTCATCAAAGAACTCATTCAGTCATCACAAAAAAAATATGTTAAGTAGTAATCTAATTAGTCTAGGACTTCGTCTAAGAGTTCGTTCTCTGAAAAGTGGCTTCTTGTAATTTCCACTGCCAATTTTGTGCTCCGAGTATAAATTTTCAGATAATTTGTTATCTCAGTAGACAGATTCTAAATTATACTATTTATTTTCAATATAAAATGTAGGTAATCCACATAGCACATTACATAATTATAATACAAACAATAAGTAAGCTATTTTTAGTAGATATAATGCCGGACAGACTACTACAGTATTTTATTTTCTGCCATTCCTGGGTCTCAATTATGAAATTGTTAAATAAATAAAATGAGATAAAAGACCATATTATGCTCAAAATTTTAATGTATTTATGTTGTATGCTATGTTTTTTGATGGAGTTCCTGTTGAGTATTAAGTTTAGCCAATTAATTTCCTATTAAAACACCATTTACTTTCATCAACAAAAATACCTCTATCCAATCCAATCCTATTCTCTATATCTCTATACAAAAAGTACCTATAGCGGGAAGAAAGAAATTCATTAGAAAAGTCTGTTATAGCGCGTACCAGAAAAATACCAAATAAATACACTTTTTGATTTTGTTTTGTGACAATCACGTTCACAAATTATTATTTTAGAAGTAGATACACTATAATTTTCACATATAGGTACAAAAATATATGTATGCATATTTAAACTAAATAACCAACTACTAACAAATTTTATATATTAATTGAAGAATGTTCCTAATTTAATACTAAATATCACTATAATATACTTATTTATCTATAATTATTTAGATCTATACCATGTGCGCTGTAGCATGGTGTGGGTGACAGTTTACTTAACATTTCGTTTCACTCTTAATAGTTGCCGCGATTTACAAATTATGACTTAGTATTTCAGCTGTACCATATTCGTAATATATTATTTATTAATAACTGTATTAACTTAAATATTAAATGTAAAATTAGTAACTGTCACCCGCACCATGCTATAGTTAACACAGTATTATCACTGTTTTATTTAACGGTAGGGCACATTACAGGAAGCTAAATAGTTCAAAATATTTATACAATGTGTTTTTAATAAACATACACATTTAAGTCAATCATAGCATTACGTATTTTTATTTTAAATATGGTCACGCAAAAACGGCGCATAAAATTAAAAACTATACACAAATAAATGACGATATAAATGGTTATTAGAAACTAGTCCATTTTATGTGGCAATAAATAAACATGTCTATTGTTACTACATATGTGCCATTTATAAAAACTAAAGTTAAAGTATACACATTTTTACTTACTTGTGAGCTAACTTAATAACTAAAATTCCTGTAAACATTATATTAAAAAATTTGATTGAATTTATTTTAGTTTCTATTCAAATTTACTTTATTTATACAGACTTATATAATTCATATTGTATTACAATAAACATCACAAAAATAGTTACCTATATTCTATACAACGAAAATTGTCCGCGAATTTCGACAAAAATAATAGTAATCTTTAGGACTGATAAAACTGGTGTCAAACAAAACTGTTGAATCATCTCTAATAATTAATTCAGAATATAAATTTTTAAAAGTATCTCTGTTTTTTCGGACAACTTCCGTTGGCCGACCTATAACATAGTTAAGTACCTTAACGATAGTAACTATAGAGTAAAAACTTGCGTCTTAGTCAATCTGTCCTTGATCTGAGCGGGTCTAAAAACGGAAAATCACTGGTACTTTTGCACTCCGTTTGGTGAAACACTTTCAGTTGTACTTCTCTCACTTTGTTGGGCTGTTTGCTATGGGCAGGTTTAGGTTTTGGGACTACCGTGACTGGTACTATCTTCCGTTTACCAATTTCATCGGTTACCTCACCTTCTGCTGCTTCCAATGCTGTCTCTACATCTATGAGGGCGTGGTTGCGACATTCCAGGAGTGCTGCTAGCTGTTGAGTTTAATAATCACAGTTATCTTAATTAAGTGTTATTACAGTACAGATTAAGAGAATTATAATTAAATTTAATTAAACTGTATTTAACTGTAGTATTTACAAAAATGGGTAAGATTGTTATGTAGTTGTATTGGTGTTGTATGAGTCTATGGTGATCAGTGATCACTGGTCGGGTTCAGGTTCAAGAACGATGGTACATATCCAGTGCGGGGAGCAGGGGCGGCGTATCTGCATAACGTGGGATGAGCAACAGAGTGACAGTATCTGCAGGTCGCCCAGGGTGGCAGTACCTGCAGAAGGTCGCAGGGCGGCAGTAACTGCAGTAGGTCGCTCAGGGCGGCAGTACCTCCAGTAGGTCGCGCAGGGCGGTAGTACCTGCAGTAGGTCGCAGGGCGGCAGTACCTGCAATAGGTCGCTCAGGGCGGCAGTACCTCCAGTAGGTCGCGCAGGGCGGTAGTACCTGCAGTAGGTCGCAGGGCGGCAGTACCTGCAATAGGTCGCTCAGGGCGGCAGTACCTCCAGTAGGTCGCGCAGGGCGGTAGTACCTGCAGTAGGTCGCGCAGGGCGGCAGTACCTGCAGTAGGTCGCGCAGGGCGGCAGTACCTGCAGTAGGTCGCGCAGGGCGGCAGTACCTGCAGTAGGTCGCGCAGGGCGGCAGTAACTGCAGTAGGTCGCGCAGGGCGGCAGTACCTGCAGTAGGTCGCACAGGGCGGCAGTACCTGCAGTAGGTCGCGCAGGGCGGCAGTACCTGCAGTAGGTCGCGCAGGGCGGCAGTACCTGCAGTAGGTCGCAGGCCGGCAGTAATATAGGAAATTGGTAGTAGCACTCACCAGTATTAAGCAACGCCGGGATCAGGATCAGTGTTAAGGAAAACCAGGACTAGGATTTTGTATACCTACACTAGTTAATATTAGTCAGTTAGCAAGTTCAGTCAATGTTCATAGTATATAAGACAAAAAAGGTAATCTGTCATAAAAAAATATTATTTTTTATTTTATTATTTTACATACATTGACAAGCGCTGCTAGAAAGCATATCGCCTGCCATTGAACCAAAGAGGTTCTTAACATCTTCTCTCGATGTGTAATCCTAGCAGCTTACTAATCTTCTCTAACCTTGGCTTTGGTAAAGCTTTAGTAAAAATATCCGCAAACTGCCACTCACTGCTAATTTTCTGAACCATGAGATCACCTTTTGTCACAAGTTCTCGAACAAAGAAGTGCCTGATGAGAATATGTTTTGTTCTCTTGTGAAACTCAGGATTTTCCGCTAGTCTCACCGCGGCTTCATTGTCCACTTGTAATACAGGAGGATACTGTATTTCAGTAAGTTCGCTTAGTATCCTAGTTAGCCAAATGCATTCTCGAGCTGCTTCACTGGCCGCAACTATTTCTGCTTCAGTGGTTGAAATTGCAACACTTGCTTGTCTTTGACTCATCCAAGATACAGCACCACCAGCAAACATGCACAGTACTCCAGAAGTTGACCTTCCAGTACCAACGTCTCCTCCATGGTCAGCATCACTATAACACTCTATGATGCCCTTTTTATAGTTCTTTTGATACAAAATACCCATATCTTGCGTATGTTGTAGATAACGCAGAATCCGTTTCAGCTTTACACAGTCGTCTTCAGTTGGATTTTCCAAATTTCTTGAGACGACACTAACAGCAAATGCAATGTCAGGTCTCGTTCCAACCATGAGATATGCTAAGGCTCCAACAATATGTCTACAGTTCAACAACATATTACTCATGTCGACCTTATCCCGGTTTTGAGACATGTCTCTAACAATTGGTGTATGCACCGGTCTGCAGCTGTCCATCCCAAACCGTCGAAGAACTTTGTTCACATAACACTTCTGATGAATTTTTATGCCGTCTTCTCTGGTTATTATCTCTATACCGAGAAAGTAGGATACAGACTTCGTTGTGATTTTAAATTTTCCCATTAAATCTTTTAGGAAACTTTCGATCAGTTTCTGATTAGACGCAGCTACCAAACCATCATCCACATAAAGAGCCACAATGAGCTTCTCGCTAGACTCCTTTCTTGTGAAAAGGCATGGATCAGCATCAGATACTTTCAAACCGATTTCCTTGAAAAAATCTAATATACGCCTGTTCCAGCACCGAGGTGCCTGCTTCAAACCGTAAAGACTTTTCTTCAGTAAACAAACTTTACCAGAGTTATCTTCATAACCTTCCGGCTGTCGCATGTAGATTTCTTCATCAAGATCGCCATACAGAAAAGCAGTAGATACATCAAATTGCGCCATATGCATCTGTTCATTAGCGGCAACAGCTAATACACTTCTAATGGTCGCCATTCTTGCTACAGGACTGAATGTTTGATAATAGTCCACGCCTTTCTTCTGACTATATCCCTTAATAACAAGCCTAGCCTTGTATTTGTCGACATTCCCGTCAGCATTTAATTTGACCTTGAAAACCCACTTGCAGGGTATGACTTTCCGACCTTTCGGGAGATCTACCAACACCCAAGTTTTATTTTCCTTCAGAGAATTAATTTCCTTATCCATTGCCATTCTCCAAAGTTTACTTTCAGCACTTCTCACAGCTTCCTTGTAGCTATTAGGTTCCAGTTGATTACCAGTGCTCTCTCCATTTATATTATATAGAATAAAATCATTGAATTTCTGTGGTAGACGAAGCGATGACCTATCTCTAAGAATACGACTACTTTCCTCTATAATCTCATGTTCATCCATAGTTTCGTGAAGCTCGGCTTCGTCATTTCCTTCTAATACCCCCCCCACATTCAATATTTTGTTCTAGCGTATTACTTCTAGCATCATCAAATATATCTTCATTAATAACAGAAGTGTCTCTGTGAAGTTCTCTATCAATAAACTCATCATTGTTTACAAGACCTTCAACTTCATCATTATCAATTACAATATTCTGAGCATCAGAAGATTCTACATGAGGTAATTTTTCAACATTCCTCTGTTGAGTTATCTTTTGTAATGCCAAAGGTTGCAACTCAATTACATTGCTAGGAAATTCTGCTTGCATGGGTTCAGACACCTTCAGTGATTCACCTCTAAGCAGAGACATATCATCAAATGTCACATCTCTTGACCTTACTAAACCAGTAGAACCATTCCAAAGACGATATCCATCATCATTATCATATCCTATTAGAATACATTTCATAGCTTTCTTATGTAATTTTTTCCGAGTCTGTTTAGGTACGTGAGCATAACATGATGACCCAATGATCCTCATGTGTTTAATCCTTGGCTTTATACCAGTCCAAAGTTCTGAGGGTGACTTGTGTTCCACTGACGTTGGCCCTGTCCTGTTTAAAATATAAAATATACGGCAGTATTCACCAATTCAGCCCACAAAGTTTCAGGTAACCTTTCATGTGCATGCATCATAGCTCTAGCACATTCCACGATCGTTCTGTTATCTCTTTCGCTATTTCCGTTTTGTTCCGGTGTATACGGCATCGTCAGTCTTTGCTTTATTCCATTTTCCACCAATATTTTCCGTACTTGTGCATTGTCGAATTCACCACCATTGTCACTCAATAGTTCCTTAACAACATGACCAGCTACTTTAGCTTCAACTAGAAACTGTTTCAATTTCTCGTGTACTTCCGACTTATTCCGAAGAAAATACACAAAACGATGACGTGTATATTCGTCTTTGAAAAGTACAAAATATCGTAATTTGGAATAACTAGATGGAAAGGGTCCACAAACATCCGAATGTATGCGTTCTCCAGGTTTCGTAGCTTTATCTCGTACACCAAACTTTTGTCTGTGAGATTTTCCAAAGATACAACCTTCGCATAATTCTTCACTATCTTTTGTTTTTATTCCCAACTCTCTATCTATCAGACTTCTTATATGTCTTTTATTTTGATGACCAAAACGTTCGTGATAAAGTTGCAATATATCAACTTTCTGTACCAAATTTACTAACATATTCATAGGCGGTACGACTCTACAATTCAGCTTGTATAATCCTCCATACCTCTCCCTATTTCCTGTCACAGTAATCATTCCTCCTATTTTCATAGTACAAGTAGTGACCCGTGATTCAAACACGCTACCTGGATTCCTATCTTGCGTCGATAATACAGAAAACAGATTTCTACTTATCTGAGGAACATACCAAACATCTCTCAAAGTCGATCTCACAGTATGTCCATTAACATCGGCCTCAATACAAACTGATCCTTTGCCTACTGCCTTGATCACATTTTTGTCCGCCGTAGTTACAGTGTGACCTTCACTGAAGTATTCGAAATCTTGAAAGATATCATTCCGCATTGTAACATGATTCGTAGCCCCATTATCTACATTCCAATGGTCACGATCTGCAATACTACTTTCAGCCGAATTCACAGTCAGTAACATCATGTTAATTCCCTTACTACTGCCATCTTTTCGAGAAACTACTTTCTTAGGACAGTCTTTCTTAAGGTGACCAACCTCTTTACAACCAAAGCATTTAAACTTTTTGCTACTGTCCTTGTTATTACTGCCTTTGTCTTCACACTTACTAGGTTTCTTCTTGACTCCTTTGACAGCAAAGGCCTCACAACTAGATTCACTGTCTACATTGTTACCGAGTGCCTTTTCATGCGCACACAGCTGACTTGTGATATTCTCTATATTCCTATCCTTCTTAGACATTAACAACCAACTTGACTTGAATGAAAAATATGTTTCAGGTAAAGTATCCAAGATTTTACAAATTAATAGAACTTCAGGTAAATCCTTACCTTCCTCTTCTTTCATTAATTCTTGCTTGAGCTTATACCACAGATTTTTCAACTTCGAGATATGTGAAGCCATGTCGTCAACAGGATTTTTCTTATATCTGAAAAATTCTAAACACAAATCATACAGGCGGTCCTCACATACACCTTCGTACAGGCGATGTAATTCATCCCATATTTCCTTTGCGGTCGTTAACCTTAGAATTTTATCCAGGATATTATCAGAGATATTATTAGTTATTACAAGTACAGCTATACTATCCAACTTAGTGTAGCTTCGTAAGTCCTCTTCGTACTTAGCCATAGCTGCTGAATCCCCAGCACTACTATCTGGCACTTCCGGTTTTTTAATTGATCCATTTATTACATCCGTTATACCGTCTATTCCCCTTAATAGTGCTGACATGCGATACTTCCAATGTATCCAATTTTCACCTTCTAATTTATTAATTTGAAATTTCGACAAATCCATTTTTAAGTTTGGTATTAGCCCATAACCTAATATAGGAAATTGGTAGTAGCACTCACCAGTATTAAGCAACGCCGGGATCAGGATCAGTGTTAAGGAAAACCAGGACTAGGATTTTGTATACCTACACTAGTTAATATTAGTCAGTTAGCAAGTTCAGTCAATGTTCATAGTATATAAGACAAAAAAGGTAATCTGTCATAAAAAAATATTATTTTTTATTTTATTATTTTACATACATTGACAAGCGCTGCTAGAAAGCATATCGCCTGCCATTGAACCAAAGAGGTTCTTAACAGGCAGTACCTGCAGTAGGTCGCGCAGGGCGGCAGTACCTGCAGTAGGTCGCGCAGGGCGGTAGTACCTGCAGTAGGTCGCAGGGCGGCAGTACCTGCAATAGGTCGCTCAGGGCGGCAGTACCTCCAGTAGGTCGCGCAGGGCGGTAGTACCTGCAGTAGGTCGCGCAGGGCGGCAGTACCTGCAGTAGGTCGCGCAGGGCGGCAGTACCTGCAGTAGGTCGCGCAGGGCGGCAGTACCTGCAGTAGGTCGCGCAGGGCGGCAGTACCTGCAGTAGGTCGCGCAGGGCGGCAGTACCTGCAGTAGGTCGCGCAGGGCGGCAGTACCTGCAGTAGGTCGCGCAGGGCGGCAGTACCTGCAGTAGGTCGCGCAGGGCGGCAGTACCTGCAGTAGGTCGCGCAGGGCGGCAGTACCTGCAGTAGGTCGCGCAGGGCGGCAGTACCTGCAGTAGGTCGCGCAGGGCGGCAGTACCTGCAGTAGGTCGCGCAGGGCGGCAGTACCTGCAGTAGGTCGCGCAGGGCGGCAGTACCTGCAGTAGGTCGCGCAGGGCGGCAGTACCTGCAGTAGGTCGCGCAGGGCGGCAGTACCTGCAGTAGGTCGCGCAGGGCGGCCCGGGCGCGGGCGGGCGGGCGCGGCAGGGCGCGCGCGAGTGCGGCGGCGGCGCGCGGCAGGCGGGCAGTACCTGCAGTAGGTCGCAGGGCGGCAGTACCTGCAGTAGGTCGCGCAGGGCGGCAGTACCTGCAGTAGGTCGCGCAGGGCGGCAGTACCTGCAGTAGGTCGCGCAGGGCGGCAGTACCTGCAGTAGGTCGCGCAGGGCGGCCCGGGCGCGGGCGGGCGGGCGCGGCAGGGCGCGCGCGAGTGCGGCGGCGGCGCGCGGCAGGCGGGCAGTACCTGCAGTAGGTCGCGCAGGGCGGCAGTACCTGCAGTAGGTCGCAGGGCGGCAGTACCTGCAGTAGGTCGCGCAGGGCGGCAGTACCTGCAGTAGGTCGCGCAGGGCGGCCCGGGCGCGGGCGGGCGGGCGCGGCAGGGCGCGCGCGAGTGCGGCGGCGGCGCGCGGCAGGCGGGCGCGCACGAGCGCGAGGGCGGCGAGCTCGCGCGCGACGTCGCCGCCCTCCGCCGCGCCGTCCGCGCACCACGAGGCCGCGCCGCCCGTGTGCTCCGCTCCCGGCTGCTCCAGCTCCCACTTCGGCGGCTCGTCGCTCTCGTTGCTACGATCAAATGGTTCCGTCAGCTTTCTGGCAATAATAATATTAGGTTACACTAGCTCGATATAACCCTAGATGACTTACGATATATAAACAAACGCATAAAGCGGCAGGCGCGTGTACCTGTGCGGCGGCGGCGGCGGCGGGCGCGGGTGCGTGCGCGGGCGCCGCAGGTGCAGTGCGAGCGCGGTGACGTGCGCGGCGGCGGCGGGGCTCGGCCTCATCAGCGCCGCCAGCGCGCCGCCGGCTTCCGCCTCCAACACTGGGAACAAATCACCGGTCGGAACATTCGAGTAATAAATCGGTGTTGGCCGAAGTGTATGTCTGCGGACCGTCCCCGGCATCGAGCCAGGTCCGCCGCGGCGCCTCGCTCGGTCGTTCCGTGTATTGAGCACCGCACGTTCCCATCTCTTATATTTTATAACATATATGTACAAATACATCAATCTTACAGCCAATTGCTCTATCATTAAATGACCCTATTAAGATTTGATATTGCAATCTCTAAAAAATTAAATAATCTTGCCTGTTATCTATCTTCTAGTATATAAAAATTGAAAGAGACTTCAGCAAGTTAGATAAAAATAATCTCAATCAGAAGAGGTTATAAAGTACTTTCCGCATTAAAATATCACTAAAAAATCAATTCAGATTTTCGTCTGGCAGCAGTACGGTATCAAATTCTATTTCACCTAAAATCCTTATAAGACGTGATTGTCGACCGACATCGAACATAATTAGTTATAATTTTAACATATGCCTTTTTTGAGAATTTGCCTAAAATCAGGGAAAAATTTTGATGTAGGTAACACTACGTATTAATACTCACACATTGTCAGAAAGGAATTTTCGAAGATTATAAAATTATTTATTAAAAATCTCACACTATAATAGTCAATATACAAGTATATGACAACTAAAATTTGAATATTTATGTGTTCCTCTTCCTAGAGGGTGGGGAGGGACCTCGATGTAACAATGATGCACGAACCATTTATAGACTATTCCAACTTTTATATCACACTCTGTTGAATCCTCCACACCCCCATCCCTCATTAACGTGTTACATAAATAACGAGAATCAACATAAATAACAAGAAACAATAATGTGGTCCCTAAATTTTCCAAATTACGTTAATATTTCTTTTAAAATACACATAATAAAATTATCTTATTACTAATTCATTAATTATTTTATGGCTTGCTGACGTACTGGCCGTATAGTTTTATGTTTCATATTTTATTATTTTCTATTAAGAATTTTATTATATATATATTTTTTTATATACAGAACATTTTAGTGCCTAATAAATATTGTGACAGACAACAACAATGACTATTGTACGAGCCTGTATAAATTCGAGTAGTCGCAAGTTCTTTACTGAGTAAGTCATATTTAAAACAAAACAATTATTACATAAAACATACACAATATAATGTACATAAAATAGTATCGAACAATCACCTGGATTATACTCACATATATTTCGAATTGAAACGAGCATCGCGACTATGACGTAGTGTAAATAAGGCAGCATTGGACCGTCGGCGAACAGGAACCCCCACAGATGTGGTATATCAGCGCGCGGGAACTCACGCCCGAATAGTAATCGTAACCATCGGCTGTAATAATAATAATAATAATAATAAGTAACGGTTTCGGCCCGTAAGTGTGGAGAAAACCAGCAAAAGCTGAGAAAAAATAAAGAATGATAATAATTAGGCCTACATTTGTGTTATGGTATATCCACCTGAAATAGAACATTGTTATGTACTTGGCTTAGGCCCGTACATACCAACATTACCGGCGAAAGTCGAGAAAAAATAATATAAATAAAAAAAATAATAATAATCATTTATTCAGCATAATAAACATATTGTAAAAGAATTCAGACCCACGGTTCCTTACAATGAGACTTTCCCTCTTTAGTGTCACTTACCATATTATACATTTACACATGAAATAACTATTAAATTAGGAAACAAACAGGCAGACTCTAAATTTGTTTTGTTTTCGTTTAGCAAACAATTTTTTTTAATGGACACATTTCATGATTTTTCTAACAAACTATGGACTATAATATTTATAGACTACTAATATCCTTAATTTATCATTTAAAATAATTAAAACTGTAATTCTGATATAATTATCTGTGGACATAATTTTGTAATTGCGATTGACATGCTCTGTATTATTGTAAACATGTACAACATTTATTTGAAAAGAATACGAGCTGAGTATCTTGTGAGTTCTTCTCATCTCGAAATCAATCCGAACTGACGGTAGATTTGATTTGACATATCATAAGAGCTCGTATTCTGTAATAGACCTACATGAATAAAGATATTTTAAATATGAATTGTATAATGAGATGTGTTATATTTGTGAATAAAATAATAAAAATATGAATACCTCCACCCTTTGTCACACTTCATCCCTCCTCTCTTCCTAACATGTGTGTCATATTTATAGATTGAGCTATTTAAATTAGTTTCGATGCCAGATTTATATATTTAAAAAATTTCGATAACGTTTTGCAAATTAAATAAAAGTAATTGACGAATGTCTATATAAGAAAAAAAATAAAAATTTTATACAAAAAACAAGTTATTATCTTTTTGCTATTAAAATATATCAGGCGCACAAATAGATAAATAAAAGTATACATTATTTTTATGTTTTATTTTTATTGCACAAATGTTAATCTCACAATCACACTTACTAATATTATAAATCATCATGTGTGTTCTTCATTATCTCATTTGCACACATTTGGGGATACTTTTTATTACAAAAACAACAATTATTTTTTTATAAAAAACAATAATATATTTTTATGTGTTATATTTATTTATTAATGGATGCAATAAGCAGTATAATGTATGAGTCTACATTATATCAATTAGTCTCAATATAAATATTTATACAAAACGTGCTGTTATGAAATCTATTTGCATATATGTAGATATTTTTGAACTCTTATATACAACTCACATTCCAAAAAGCTCCATAGAGATATTATATTCAGCGAGGCGCGCCGCTAACTCTGCGTCAAACGGCGCCAAATATTCCTCTTTCACTTTTTCCAAATATCTGACTACTTCATTAGGATTCTGTAATAAAACAAAGTTATTATAAATATCTATTATTAATTTAATTAATTATTTTTTCTATATTATATATATTTTTATTTTTTAATACACACAGTTCAAAAGATACATATATACAATCGAGGAACATATTTTAAATGAATATTGTTTTCTGAAAATTCTTGCAATGGATTATAAAAGTGTCGATTCTGAAATAATAGGTAAGTAATAAATTATTTATATTTCATGTTTATGTATTCACAACTGTTTTATTTTTATTGTTTTCTTTATTTTAAGACCGTGTAAAAATAATTTTCTGCCAAAACTAACCTTCATACAACACACAAATACCAGATATATATTTATTAATCCGAAGATAATTCAGAAGACAGATTTTAGTACATTTGACGGACTTAACAGCATGCGGCATTTTTATAATTATATGTTATAATGGTCCAGCTTTAATATAGTACTACACCTGACAAAGTTGGGATCGATTCTTGTACAATACATTTAAATTATGACTAGTCTCGGTCAAGTACTAATCCGTGACAACATTACAAACAAACTTTCGCACATATTAGTTAGTAGATACATAAAAAGCAAACAGTATTGTTATATGTTTCTTACATACGTGAACTACTTTGGACGACGGCAGCCGACCACAAGCTGTGGGCACCACATCACCTGTCGTATAAAACTTTTCTAAACCCTTCATAAGGGTGTTGAAGAGCATGCTGTGAAAAACAATTATTCTAATCAGAGACTATATATGTAGAATTCATAGTCTCTGGTCCAATAGTACAGACGTAATATATTTTTTAAAACATATTTTTTTTTTATGAGTATTAATGGAACGGTGCCCTCGCCTGCACTTACTGTTTATGCGGGCGGAGCACCAGTGGAGGATGAAAAGATGAGCATGAAATCAATATTTATACCATATTGCTAAAAACAGGCCTAATATCACTGAGATAGATTTTGTACAAAACCAACGGGCTCGGTGGTCTAGCGGTTTAGCACACCGCTTTAGTTCCGATGGTCGCGGGTTCGATTCCTCGGACGAAGAAATATTTGTATCCATGAATATGATTGCTTGTATCGGTCTGGGTGTTTTATATATCTTATATATATTATGTATTTACAAAAAAAAAGTATTCTTATCAGTTATAACACAAGCTCTACTTAGTTTGGGACTAGATGGCGGTATGTGAATTGTACAGGGTTAAATGCCATATGGCAAGTTCATGGCACATATGTTATGGATAACTGTTGCATTTCCATTAAGTAGTGTGTTATGTAGTTTGCCTTTGCAATTAAATCTATACATATAAATAAAATTGGAGTGTCTGTTCGTAAAATCGAAATAACCGTTTTACTACATGCATATGAATATATATACGGTACATAGACCAAAATAACATTTTTTACAATTTTGTATGTCTGTCTGTTTGTTCCGGCTAATCTCTGAAATGGCTGGACCGATTTTGACGGGACTTTTTTTGGCAGGTAGCTGATGGAATAAGTAACTTGGCTACTTTTATTTTAGAAATATAAAGTTAAATTCTACGCGGACGAAGTCGCGGGGGCAACTAGTAAGAAATAAATTTAGTACTAGAAACCTTTTCAAAATAAGATATGTAAAGGGGAAGAATAATATATCATAGGCTTAGTAGAATTAAATGTTGCTTTAAGTACAAGTAGTGTTACTCTACTAAATAAATGTGTTACACAATTTAGCAAATAATGGCTTGGAAATGAAATAATACAGGTATTTAAGTTAATTATTACAATTTAATACTTACTAACAATGATGTTCTAAATAATTTTCGTCAAGATAATATTTTAACGCGTCACTGCAAAAAAAAAAAGATTATTATAAATAAACAAAAAAGTTACACAAATTTCTAAGTAACAATTATTTATGTTATATACTTTTTAATAAAACTTATACTTAATACATTTCCATTCAGTCATAAAAAAGCTACACAAATTTTTGAGTAACGGTTATATTTGTTTTTTTTTTCAGATAAACTTATCTATACATATAAATAAAAAGAGTTTTTTTATTGATTATAAATAGAAAAATTGAGAATAACTGTATTTCGGACCTGTATCTTGGAGGCAGGATATTATCTATACATATAAATAAAATTGCAGTGTCTGTTTGTAATATTAAAAAACGTTTTTTGCTACATGCATATGAACATAAATATGGTACATACACCAAAATAACATTATTTACAATTTTTGTATGTCTGTCTGTTTGTTCCGAATCTCTGAAATGGCTGGACCGATTTTGACGGGTCTTTTTTTTGTCAGGGAGCTGATGTAATTAGGAGTAACTTAGGCTGCTATTATTTTAGAAAAATAATGTTAAATTCAACGCGGACGAAGTCGCAGGAACAGCTAGTATTAAATATATTTTCATTCATTCACAATTTAGATACCGAGATCTTGTCGGTGGAGCACATTTATTATTAATAGTTCACCCATCTAAAAAGGTGCAATAACTCAACTCATATCACATTTAATGTCATTTTAAAATATCATTACATAGTATAAAACAAAGTCGCTGTCGCTGTCTGTCCGTCCCCATGTATGCTTAAATCTTTAAAAGTACGCAACGAATTTTTAATAGGTTTTTTAATAGATAGAGTGATTCAAGAGAGATTTCATCCGTGCGAAGCCGGGGTGGTTAGCTAGTATAAAATAAAGGAAGAAGTATCTGGATTAAGTAACAACTGTAATGTACTATCACGACTATAATTACATATAAGGTGTTCAGATACACTATCAACTGTAGATGTCATGAGGAATGTAGCACTTGTAATGCATATAATTTGCTGGATATATTTGAATCCAAAAAAGGCATGTTGGATTCAAATGTAACACAATAAATTAATATAATAGTAAACCTACGGCCGTCGTTACCGTCCTACGGATTAATTAGGTTCGTATCGATATGGCTATCACCAGTGAATCAGTCATAAATATATGTATTTAATAAAAAAAAATAAACATCGCATTTAGTACTCATTATTAATATAGTTAATTAATTATTTACCATAAAATCATTCGTGTTAACACCCTTTTAAGTATAATATATATTAAAAAACTTTTTGTTCGGAGTCTGCCAGATTTGACATTCTATTTACGACCTTTTGTATATGTAACTTAGGGTAGAAACTGCTAAACAACAGCGGATTTCTGATTATAATAATATAATAGCATAATATAAACCAAGTACTTTACCCTAAGTTGTCAGGTGCAAATTTCCTATCTAAATACAATTCAAATAATAGTGGGGCAAGTATTTCGTGCATTCCCTGTCTGTATCCCACATGTGAATGGCATCGTGCCCAGAAGAATAACACGTTAACCTGAAATGAAAATAAGCCTTAAATGAGCCTATGAATGTTGTCACGCGTATATTCACATGCGTTTAGTCACATGCGTATAGTTACATGCGTATAGTCACATGTTAAAAACGGGGACGAGGATGAAGTGTGACATTATGTGACAAAGGGTGGGACGAGTCGTAAGTATCATGACTTCACATATTAAAATCTATTTTTTTATTATTAATTTAACAATTAACAAAAATCTTTAAAATAATAATAATAATAATTTCTATAAAATAATAAATTCTTAAGTTTTGTTTGTTTTGCAAGATATATATCTTGTAAAACGTGCCAGTTCATCTCACATTTAAATAATAAAAATTCTGTTCTGTAATGTATGGATGGCTTTATTTTATGAGGTAGAGAATATTATTAAGTGTAAATAGAATAGTTTTAAAATATAAACGAGTTTGCAATTAGCTGAAATTTTATATTGTATTAATTGAATAAGTAAATTATGAAATGTAGAAATAACAATACATATAAAATATTTGACCAATCAACTCACCATTAACTCTTGTACCTCCTTCTCACGGAAGTACACCTCATCAGGGTATGTACGTACCACATCTTGCAATATAAGTGCTTTGAGCTCGTTATCACAGAAGTGTTGTTTCCATGCACTCTGGCAAAAGAGAATATATAAGGATTTCACATAAATTTGTTAATGGTTTATATTTATAGTTGGCGTATGGTACATGGTCCATTATTTATTTTAACTCTGATAACTATAGAATAAATATAATAGTAATTTGTTTGATAACTCTTAATCAACTTCTTGTCGTGATTGTAAGATGTTTTGAGTGGTATTAAATAAATAAATATACCTATTGATAGTTATTGTTCAAATTAAATTCGAAAACAAAAATCAGAAAATCAAAAAGCTATTATAATATATTTACCTCGTCATTTTGTGATAATGGATCATCTCCAATCACAGTTCTAGGATCCATAGACAATTTAGATTTAAGATCGTTGTAGAAATTTCTATGAGCTTCTAAACTGTAACAAGAGACAATGACAATTTATTTATAGACTATTTTTATGTCTCATAACTGAAGTTACATGATGGGGATGGATAATAATTTAATATTGGAAATGGCAATGTATAAGGGGTATGCTAATCATCATCATGACGTCATGATGTCTATATGTTGTATATAGCAACAGTTGCCAATACCATAAATTGGACAATAAAATTGATTGCCATTCCACTTAAGGGTCGTCTATGAATTATGTTACACTTTAAAGGGTGGGGAGGTTGTGAATGAAGTCTGACAAAGTGTGACAAGGTGGAAGAACCTATGCATTTTTTTTACATCACTATGCCTGAAACATCAGTGGTGTCACATTTTCTAACATGACATTTTAAAATCTATATTAGTGCTGTACCATTTATAGATGCGGAAGAGATGTGTCACAATTGTGACTAACTGTGACAAGGATAAAGGTTAGTCAGAAATAAAGAAATTTGTATGACATAGTTTCTTATTTAAAAAAATTAAACTTTATTAAACTTACATAAATACTTAAGCATATAATAAGATTTTTTTTGTGTAATGGGTCGTTAAACATAAAGGAAGAGGTTGTAGGCGAAGTGTGACATTGTGTGACAAGGGGTAGAAGGAATTATACATAATAACATTTCATAGTCTACATATTACTAATAAATATTTTAAATGGAAATAAAATTCATTTAAATCTTCTTTGTTGGTTAATACATCATTTCTAGATGCGGAGGGGTCATGTATGTGATAAATATTTTCAGAAAAATGGAACATAGTTTAAATTAAAAAAACTAAACTTTTTTAAATCATTAAATTCAGCTAAAGCAAATAATTCAATTTATTTTGTTGGTCATCTATAAAACGTTACACATCATTTCGAAATGTGACATTGTGTGACAATAGAAGGCGAAGTCTACATACTACTAATAAATATTTTAAATGGAAATAAAATTAATTACAAAACTTGTTTGTTAATACATCACATGTCACAGATGTGACTAGTCACATCACTGTGACAAAGATAGTCAGAAATAATAAAATTTGTATGACATAAATTATGGACATCCCTCACATAAAAAAAACTAGTTTGTTGTACTATATAAAAATAAAATGTAAATGTTTCTTATATAAAATTCTCACTAAGCGTATAATATTATTATTATTTGTGTTGTAAGTGTTAGAATAGAAGATTTAATAAGTATATGTACCTAGATATGATATCTCCACTAGGCGGCGGGAGAGCATTCAGCAAGATAGCCCATGCTAGACTGTGGGGACGACCTAGCCTCTGCTGTATTGCTGCTGACTTTAAACATTCCAGGCTCCATGCTGGTAACCTTAGCCTATTATAAAAAAAAACTCTCAAGAGACAAATATGTATAACTATATAAGCTGTGCCTGTGGTTCCACCCAAGTGAAATTTATAGCCTATATAAATTATGTATGTACAAATTATATTATTGTAAAGTTTCATAAAAATCTGTTTAGTAATTTTTGTGTGAAAGAGTAACGAACATCCATCCTTACTCACAATCTTTTGCATTTATAATATCAATAAGATAATGTAACAAGATAAAAGAAAAATTAAGATATATTTCAGTGGAAGGTGAATCTAGATTCAAATAATGGGGAGTTTCAATGACAAATATAATGAGTATTTAATATTTGTCATTGAAACTCCCCATTATTTGAAATATATCTTAATTTTTCTTTAAGTCGAATTGTTTAAAATAACTACGTTATATTCAATTATGTAACAACCTTGGTCATGAAGCAATTTATCACTTCCTCACTTTCTAATAGTAAAAATTTAGACCTTGCATAATAAGTGGCATACATGAGATTAATATTTTACCACCTAAATAGGTATTTAATACTATTTTAATACTAATGAAAGTTTATTAAAATAGAAAGTTTATTAATATTATACTAGCTATGAGCACGGTTTCACCCGCATGAACATTATAGCCTGTATGTTCTTTTGATGTATAAGCTACATTACTGTAAAGTTTCATCAGATTCTGTTCAGTAGTTTTTGCATGAAAGAGTAACAGACATCCATCCATATTAACAAATTTTCACATTTATTATACTATATATATAAGATTATTAAATGAGTCCACTGCTTAATAACCAAATACTGTATAAACAATATTAGTGCAAATGATTTTTGTTTGTAAACTTACTGAAATAAAACTGCATGATACATCTCTTCATATATTATTTAATTTTTGTCTATTATTAGATACAGAAAAATGTTATATTGACATAACAATCCTTCTAGTATCCATTTTACTTTAGATATTCACAACTATACAATACCATCCTAAAAACTGTCTTTCTATAATTATATTTACCAGCACAATGTATGTACAGTCAATCGTAAAAAAATATAAAATTTTAAGAAGAGGTTATTCCATTATATTTGTAAAAATTGCAAATAAATTAGTTAAGCTAAATTAGTGTGTAAAAATTGATAACATAATAGTGTCTAAGTTTAAGAGACACTATTATGTTATCAATTTTTATATAGTATCCTAATAATTGTTTCTCATACAGCTTTTATGTACAGATAGTAATCAGTTATATTTTTATTATATCTGTACGGTATTACGAATATTTTATTGAAGTTTCTATGAGTATAAACAAAAGGCTTTGTGGTACTCACTCATATTCTGTAATTTCTATTCTATCTATTGTTGGAGAGGTCGGCGAGCAGTCAATATTATTCTGTTCCTGTTATTAAAAAAACTATTATAAATGCTACAAAGCAGACAAACAAATGTAGTAATTACAACCTAATTTTCTTACCATATTATAGGATAATTAGGATATAATATGTGCATTTCTAATTTTCTACGAATTCAATTAAACCACTTCTCACATGCGCTAAAAAAATTCATAACAATAATTTACTTCAATATTTATAACTCGTCTGAATATGAAAATGTTTAATTCTTTATAAATAAAATGAGACAAATATTGTTTTTAAATAAAGTCACAGAGTACCGTATTAAGTAATTGGATAATTTGGATAATCTCTATTCTGTTCAATATCAAAAAATGTCATTCAGATTATACAGAGCCAAGAACAAATATTGTTCTTAGTGCAAGATCTAAAAACAATATTATCAGCAGCTTGTTCTTACTAAAGTACATATATTTTATAGTTTTTATCTTTTTTTGAAAAATAACTAGTCGTTATCAAATAACTATATGTATTTATATTTTTTTTTACTTTTAACATTTATATAGCATGCGATGAAATTTTTAAGGATTATAATACAAGATTGTCCTCTAACGGAATAATCTGTCAGACAGATGTTTCTCAATTGCAATCTAAAATTATAAATTCTAAAGATTAAATGAACAAACTAATTATTTTAATTATAATAATATTAAAAAACACTCTTACTATTAAAATATTAAGAATTTTAACAAGTTTCAAATTGCTCCGTCCGTCTGATATGTCTAACGTAAGCGCGATTACAGCGCCACCACAACTCAGAGCAAATTTATTTTTATCTGTATGCGCACACCCTATTAGTACTGTATCTACGTTCCTAGAGCTGCGTAACAAAGAGTCGAGAATTATTGTACTCTGTGGATCTATGGATCTTTCTCTTTTTACTAAACGATCGTTGTTACTTCGTAGATATTGTAAATTTGTCTGCGAAGCATTATTTTGAGTTGTATCTCTCTAATCAGTTTGAACTTAAAGTGTTTACCCATATGTGTACCAAATGTTTTCATTTACGGCTGTTACAATGGACTCTACGCTATTAACCGTTATGGTAATAATACGCGGGTCGACATCGCAAGCACTGACTGCCTTCCGACTTCGATGACCATAAGTGACAGCGGGAACCATGATCGCAAATTTACCGCTTCTTTTAGCCAACGGCAATCCAACGGCCCTGAGCAAGATCACAGCTGCAGAGCTTGAGAAGTTCATAACTTTCATGGTGACCTGTTCCTGGGGTCACGACACTGTCAAAGACATCCGACAGCCGCCGTGGTGGCCTAAAGATGTCGCGTTCACGTATCCTTTTGTCAGGCCGTACGATGTGCCTGCAGATTGGGAAGCGCGACTGAAGAATTTAGTGAGAAAATGCTATGATTACCACAAGAGCACGTTCCTGCTGGTATTCTCCGCTCAGCTGTCTCGATACCCGCGCAAGAGGCTCAGGTATGTCGACAACCGTGATCACACCACGTCTCTCTATTACAGGCCGAATGACCGACTTTTAGTAACATTTAGAAATGAGAATCTATTCTATGACAAACATGCACCAAAAGAACTAGACATACCCCAGCTGAAATCGGCAGACATATATCTTTGTGACAATTGTGACAGTCATTTTGATAATTTAGATGTACTGAGAGCACATGAAAGGCTGTGTAATAATGAAATTTTGCCAACAAGCACATGCAGTGGTGGTATGCCAGAGTTTTTGTCCGCCCTTAAGTTGCACCCGGTCGGACAAAAAATAGACAATGTACATATTAAGGTTAATGTCAATGAATCACGTTCAAGAAATGGTAGGAGCACATCAAACATTGATAGAGGGCCTCCATATCCCTTTTCATCGTTAGCATATTTGCGTAATGTAAAATCAAACACACAGAGGGATATGACCTATTCTCGTGAAAGAATAGAACGGTACTGCTGCGGTCCAGCAGTGATTAGTAAAAATGTAGGTAGTAAAAGTAGAACACAACAGTATCCGATCAGATACAGGCGGCCCATCGATTACTGGCAACGCAAACATATATTTCCAAATCAGAGAAATAAGAAAATACTAGACTTGAACGGTCAACTGTTGCTGTTGAAGTGCAAGCCTGTCAGGGTCGACGTGGAGAGAATGTCGATGAGGAAAATAAATGAATATATAGAAAACTTGAAGAGGGAGGCGGAGGCCCGGTACGCCCGAGACGAGGACATAATATTCGTGGACAGACTCGAGTGCGAGACCGCCGACGTAGAGATGCGGACCACGGACCCGCTCAAGAGGCCCGACGGCGACTGCGAAGTGATAGATCTGTGCTCCGACGACGAGGGTCCGGCCGCCAACGAGAACTGCGATCCGCGCGCGGCGGTGACGAGCGTGGCGAGCGTGGCGCGCGTGACGAGCGTGACGGGCGTGACGGGCGTGACGGGCGTGGCGGGCGTGGCGTGCGTGATGCGCGGCGGCGCGGTGCTGCGGCGCACGGCCGCCACGCCGCTCGCCACGGCGCAGCCCGCGCAGCCCTGCGGCGCCCGCCAGCGCCCGCTGCCGCCCGCCGTGCTGCACCCGCGCCCCCACCAACACCAACACCAACACCAACACCAACACCCGCACCCGCCGCGCCCGCACCCCGTCATCCTCATCGCGCACACGCTCACCAACCTACAGACTATTTCCCTAGATTGATTCCATGTATTGACTTGACTTTAGTGAGTTATCCATTATTTATTATCCTTCATCAATAAAAGAATTAATGTTCATCGGACATCTTTCATTTCAGGCGTACGCTCCGTTATGTTAGTGTTCGTTTAGTTTCGATGTTACGTTTTCCGCTTTGATCTTCGACTAGTTCGGCTCGCCGCTGAACTTCTCGATTGTTCGATCGAGCTGCTTGTGACGAGTGCGTCGTACCATGAAAGTGAATAATTTAAAAATATCGCTGAAGCCGATAGACGTATACGGGGAGGTAGAATAAGTTGCTACACGGTACTTTTAGATGATTCTTCTAAATCTATGAAAAAAAATATCTATGATGTATTTTATATTATTGCTAGACTAGATATATTTTCTTTTCCCTTGTTGTATATTTTATTGTTTATAATATTACTTATAGGACAATGAGGTATGGTACCTATTTTTGTTGCTCTATTGTGTATTTATATCGCGCCATGAGCATTGGCACGACAAAATGGCGCCTTGAGTTCAGAAAGTTCTCGCTTGCCGTCACTGAGATATTCAATATAATTGCTAGTATTATTTGTAATACAGTAAATCATTTCTTTAGTTTATCTAGTAATTGCCCCAAGAAACATTATCTTTAACTCATATTTGTAAAATAATATTAACACGGGCTTCGATTCTGAATAATATCGCCTTTATTGGGTTCTAATTATGGTATCGTTATTTGGCCAAGCCACCATTTTGTTTATTGTTCATAGGGTCAACCACTAATGATTTGAAAACGGAATATGTCTTACATTAAAATACAATGGCAATTTAATATCAAAACTCTACATAATCACCTATACACTTATGTAGAGTGCAACGTATTTTAATCCTCTAGGTTTATTATATTTACAACGAAAGCTGTGTGAAATTCGCAGGCGCCATTTTGAGAATACACAATGATTATTAATGAAAATGCTATGCATATTATTGGTAATAGAAACATTAGTTAGAACATGAGTCAGTAAATAACACTAAATGGCTTACTAATAGAGGCGACGTCATTGTTCTGTGATTTATTTATAATGAAACAATTATTATCTTAATTACTTTTATAATTTCGTAATAAGAAAAAACATACAATGACTGAAAATATAAGTATGCCAAGTGAATCATATGTCTTCATTGTTCATTCTGTGGTGAGAGTTGAGGGGGCGGCGACTTTCCTCATCGGAACCATAAATAACTTCCTCATCCGAATCATTGATCATGGAAAACGCGGGATTGTCTTTGGTTATGGCTGTTTCTGAAATTAGAAGGAAACATATGGCTTATTCAATAAACTATTTCTTATATAGGGGCTACAGATGCTATTATATCATCATGGTTGTAATAGATATTTGACAGAAAATAGTCGCAATAGTTGTTTAATGAATGATACAAAAAAAGGATAAATTTTTTAAAAGGAGGTTTTTAAAGTAAATTTGGTAATTTATGGTATCTTTAATATTAAGTTTGAACTCAATAATCTGCGTTGAACTGAGCGTATTGCCGGAAAAGATCGGAAGATTTCTAGATTAATCGGCCATGAATTCCAACGAGCGACTCGTATCAAATACGGTGTAGATGATACGGACGAATTACTCAGTCCGCCACTAGTGTAATGGGAGAACGATCGGTGCAGATCGAATTCGTCGCATCAGAGATTATTTTACATTGGGTCTTCATTGTTTCGTTCTTTTTCATTCTTAGAACTTTAGTAGGTAATGCAACTGTTAAGGTGTTCCTCATATATTGTGTTCTTTAAATGTAGTAATAATATACGTTTTCTCCAAATCTCGGAAAATTTGTTATATTTTCACCGATTATCGACTGTTTTTATTGAAACATTATCTACACGTACCTTATATACAGAAATATTTTTAAAGCTAATGAACTGGAGGTGTAAATTCTTACCATGTATAGAACCCCCGCCAGGAGAGAATAGATAGGCCAGTATGTACATCTTAAAGTTGAACAGGCCATAAAGGGCCATGAACGGAGCGGACGTGTCGTAGTGGACCTTTGGTTGCGAAGCCCAGTGGTCCTGTAGCGCTGCGGGACCCCAGCCTTGTATGGCCAATAGCATCGTTATAAGCGTAACAGTGCCCACTACGATCGATAGACAGCGAAGTCTTATATCTATTAACAAAACAAAACATTATTTTTCTTATACAATTCTGTTATTGAAGTTCTAATTTATATTATCTTAAGATATAAAATTCTCGTGTCACGAAACTCCTCCGAACGGCTTTACTATTTTTATGAAATATTGTGTGCATATCGGGTAGGTTTCAGAATTGGCCAACATCTATTTTTAATACCCTTCAATGATAAGGGCCACTCCTAAATATTATTAAAAATGTTTTGGAAAATATTTCTTATTGTTATGATTTGGCATTCCCCCTTCTACCAACTCTTTTTTAACAGCTAAATGTTGTAAATGTTAATTTATATGGCAGTTGATATTTCTGTAATATCCAACGGATCTTTCATTTTCTTATGAATTTTAAAGCACATTTAATTAATAAATATGACGTTTTATTACGGCAACAAATAAACTTGGATGGGGATGATCTTATTTGGGATATTACAATGTGGACATCTTAGAGAAAACGAATTGATTATGCATAAACTATCATTATAAAATGTTATAACATTTAAATGCCATATTGGATGAAATTGTTATACTTTTTATTTTAACTTTAGGGTCTAGACAAATGGCAAAAGCGTATCTTTTATAAATCTTTAGAGAAATAAAATATTTTTTACAACGCAAAATATTTTTAAATACCTCATGATCTCTAGGCCAGATAATTTTATTGTCTGCCAGTAACTCTGTATCCATCTTGTAAAGGTGCAGAAATAAAGCGTTTTGAAAAAAGAATATATACTACTTGCTCATTTGTTTGGACTCCTATGGTTGGCTATTGTAGTCTTATTATTATTTATCAATATTTTAGTTTTGTAACAGTATTACATATTTCTTAGTATAAAATATTTTATATTTAAGACTGGCTGTTAAGACTGTATCATTTTTCTCATATCTTAAATATTTTCATGTTACATGAAATTTAAATTATAATCGTAATTTTACATAAATATATGGATTAACTTGTATTTTTTTTTGTTTTGTTTTTTAAACTGTAACATACAGTGTTACAGTATATCAGTGAGTATGTATAATAAATTTTAGTTTCGTAATATGAGTTAAAGTGACCGCCTCCGAGATGTTTATCCTGCCGCTTCTATTCCGATAGTCACGAGTTCGATTCTCATGATACAAAAGTGATAACATCAATCAGTCATCATCGCATGATACAAAAGTTTGTATTCATCTGTATGATCGTTTGTTTAGGTCTGTCCGTTTCTATATACATTATGTATGTATTTACAAATAAATGTATGAAGTGTTTCCACAATCTCTTTGATTTGGCACCAGATGGCGCTGAATGAATGATCCTTTTAATATTATTACTACTGTAGGTAGTTAATTAGGGTTTGACCATATTTTTATACTTATTAAATTAGGAGAGATTACACAAATTATCAGAGACAATTAAGATAGAAATGTAGACTTACCAAAAAACGGCATATTCCTCAAGTCACTGTAGGCTTTGATAATGAGGATCAATAAATATAAAAAGTAAAGCGTAATTGCACTGAAGAACATGATTTTCACAAACTGAAACGAAATGAGAATTTATACATTTTTGTTTCTCCTGAAATGGTGATATCCTGCGCATAATGGTATACGCAGCAAGGGCATCAGTGAAGGATGAAATAATGATGGAGTCAGTTGGTCCATCGTGCCGGATTCAGTAGGAATTAATAATTGTGCTTTCCACGAGAACTACTTGGAGGTCTAACAATCCTTTTCTCTGAATATATGGCATCAAAGTTAACGGGCTACCTTTGAAAACTACATTTAATGATACCAGTGTTGGATTAAGGCTAAAGCGGGCCTTTAAGCTACATTGTAATTCCGGGCCTATTTTTCATTAAAAACACATACTTTATAGTTTTAAAAATTGTGGGCCCTAGAGTTGGCTAGGCCTTAGTTCGCCCCTGATTGAGGTAGATGGACATATTAAAATTGCAAAAGTTATTCCCAAAATTAGAGGTAGTTCTGCTAGCTAACACAGCTTGGTTTCCAACCTGTTTCGATCGAAAGCCTGATGTTGAAATGAAGTGATGTGATTATTAGGCCAATAGGTGATGATTATCACTTTTTATTAATACCAGATTATTTGCAACATATCCATTGAAATAATTAAATTATAATTGATATGCTAATGCATATACATAAATTTTAATGTTACAACATTTTGTATTATAAAAGAACGCAAGTTACGCGACTGAATCAGTGTCTTCAGGTGGGGGGACATTGTAAGGCCGATTGCTTATATCAATTTTAAAGCAGCTATTTCGGATACCCCTCATAGTTGGGCACATTTGAATAGTTAACATTTCGTGTTGACCTCCTTATATTCATTTTATACAGTTTCACCGGGCGACAGAGTCGGGTGCAGATGGCACTCCAAATCAAGGGAAGGACTTCTGGAGCGACTCCGTCGCACTAGATGGCCCTGTGTTAATGAAATGGATGTGTTAATGTTGTGCTTCTTCATCCACCTTTAATAAAACTCCATTTTATAATTTTATTTTCCTTCATCATTAAATGTTTATTATTTTTTACTTTTCTCCTGTTCGCATATGACCTATCTTTTCGATATTTAAATCTGTTTCCCCTAAAGTTACCTTGAAAAGATTGCTTTCAGCAATAAGATCGCCTTATTGTAACTATACATGTGTTCTTTAAATTATTTGTGTTTTTACTGTATCTTAGGAATGAAGTCTATTCTATCTATCTATAATCTAAATTTACGTCTAAAACTAACTTTACGACTGCTCGTTGGCAAGTGAGAACAAACGAATTCTTATCTTTTAAAAACAAAGGAATTATCTAAGTGTATCATTAACGAACGCTGTTAGCTGATTTATTATGCCGAAAACAATCCAATCTATTTTATAATATTAAACAATACTTGGCATTGAGATGTATATACATTATCTTACTTTAATTATCTATATATTAAAAGAAAAGCGCAAGAGGATTGTTAGCAATGGGGACTAGGAGGACGTACTCCAGGCAGTGGCGTAGTTAGGTAACCAAGGGCCTTGGGGCAAATAAAAAAATGGGGCCCTCTTCTCACCAGTGGGGCCCTATATTACAGGTTTATTAAAACGCACATATCACTATCCGTTAGATTGAGAACACTGCCAACCCACAGAAAGAATTTAGGGGAATTCCGAAGGTATAACTTTCGAATTTCTCTCAACTGAGTGGCATGATTAAAATCGGGTTGCAACCTGTCATATGTTTTTGAAAATGGTATTAATCTTGAGAAGTTCAGTTCGATCGAGGTTTTCTGGTAAGGGTTCGAAGGCCTCCTGAGCTTGAGCGTCCTGGGGCACTGCCCCGCCTAACCCCTAGGTAGTTACGCCACTGTCTCCAGGTCCCATGGAAGACATTTTGGTTCATTCCTGTTGAATTTGTCACGATGGGCTGACTTGACCTGACCTCATGCTCATCTTACGCATACCGTTAGAAGCGGGAGCACCATTCCATTGTTATCCATTAAAAAAACATCTGACATGACATGTACTTAGTTTATATTGACAGCGTCTGTGGTCTAGCGGTTTAGCACACAGCTATACTTCCGATAGTCGCGGCTTCGATTTCTCTCACGGTACAAACATTTTTATTCATAGGTATGATTGTTTGTATCAATTTGGACGTTTTTCCTAAGCATATGCATTTATTCAATAAAAAAATGTATACACTTAGGTATACCAGTTGTCTAGTACCCACAACGCAAGCTCTGCTTAGCTTGGAACTAGATGGTGCTATGTGAATTGCCCTGAGATATTATAATACTAGCTGCGCCCGCGGTTTCCAGAGTGTAATTTATAGCCTATGTATCGTTCTGATAGCAGTATTAATATAAAGTTTCATCAAAGTCCGTTCGGTAGTTTTTGCGTGAAAGAGTAACAAACATCATTCATCTATACCTATACTCAGAAACTTTCGCGTTTATAATATAACTAGCTACCTACTCCGTCTTCGCACGGGTGTACATGTATTACATTATACATATAAACCTTCCTCTTTAAAAAAACCGCTTCAAAATCCGTTGCGTAGTTTTAAAGATTTAAGCATACATAGGGACGGACAGACAGCAACAGCGACTTTGTTTTATACTATGTAATGATTAAGATTATATAACTCACAGGATAGTTGGGATTCATGTTGTAGTTGAACGTTGGGTCATCGAATGCGTAATACTTTTGCCATACTGTGACAACCATGGCGGGCATCCACACCATGCCAACGACTATTAGTTTTGATAAATAAAACGATAGAAAACCTCTTTCATTCTGAAATAAAACAATGTTAAATTAATAGTGGGACGCCGCTTCACATTTCAGGCAAATAGTCTGTATTCTGAGGAATTGTTCCACATGATGCCTACGGCCACCTTTCACCATCGCACCGCTCGCCATCGACAGGGAATTCATTCCCACACGCTGGAACCTAAGTGGTCTCGGACAGTGCGGTTTCAGAGGAGCTTCTTCCAACGTACACTTAGATTGTGGAATGAACTTCCTGCCGAGGTTTTCTCACGAGACTACAGCATGGGGTTTTTCAAGAAGGGTATATTAAGGTTTCTTAAGGGTCGGCAACGCGCACGTGGCACCCCTGGTGCTTCAGTCGTCCATAGGCTACGGTAACCATTTATCATCAGATGGGCCGTATGCTTGTTTGCCACCATAGTAGTATAAAAAAAATAGGTTAAAAACAATAGCTAGAAGATATTATTTTTTAACCTAAGTGATAAATAAGCCCTGTTGTCGCACCGGAAAAGTCTCCCTCCGAGCGATTCCCCGTCCAATTCAAACGGGGGTTGAAATTAGGACGGCCTGAGCCGAGTTTCGAACCCCTAGCGGTACCCCCAAACTAAAGTCATATCCGTCAGGCGGGAGCTTTTGATTTGGAGTGCCATTTGCACTCGCCCCCTACCGTCCAGTGAAGCTGTAAAGGCCAGCTACGGCCTACAGTATTAGAGTAGTCCGAAAAAAACCCCGGAAAAGTTTAAAAATAGATATAATCATTATTCAAATAAACTTAATATAAGCGCTTTTGAATAGTCCAATTTTTATATTCTACTCATTCGACACGCAGACTAATCACAAGAATGAACAAGAAGAAACTTGCTCTTTTACATAAATGTTGTTTTAAGTAAATACGCATTAACAAGGAATAGGCATGCTTCAATCAACATAGAAACCACTATGCACTCAATCTTTCTGCAGTCTGATAACATTGTCAGCTCTGTAAATTTTAAGTTATATTTTTCTACAAGAACATTATTCATAAGCTCTTAAATTTTATAGTAACCTTTTTTTTTACAAAGGAAGTGTTTTATAAGACATTTGAATCCTTTTTCTAGTCCTGGCAGTTTGTTGTAAAACCTTACGCAAAACCCATAAAACGAATTAGAAAAATAAGTTAAACGGCATTTAGGTAAAACCAGTTCGTTGTATCTGAAAGTGTATTTCTGTAAACCTACAATATTATCTTGCCTTGATATAATTTAATCATTGATAAGTGCGCTGGGTACCTACTAATTAAGAGTACAACAAAAAGACATCAATATACCTGTCTCAGACCATGGTACTGTGCCAGCCAAGACAGCATCACGCACGCCAAGAACAGAGTCTGGAAGACAGTGTCCATGAGTGGTGCGAAGCAGCTCCCGGAAACCAGCCGTAAAGGAAATATAGGATCTGTAAATACAATTTCAAGTTTATTTGTATTAACAGGATTATGAATGTCGGTGAAATCAGGTATGGTGAGTAGCCCAGAGTAATAGTCGTGTTCATCAGAAAATAATCACGATTATCTATACGATATCTTCGATTTAGATTTGTTTCGTCATACATCGTATATGTATTTAGAATTCATATAATATTTAACTCTCTTTTGTAGTGCGCCACCTACCTTTCCCTCACCCAATACTTTTATCTCCCAGGTTGTTGTAAGAGATCGCTTTGAGCGATAAGGCCGCCTTTTGTTCTTTCTTTATTTTTGTAATTATTTGTTTTTATTATGCGCGAGTTTAATAAAGAGTTTTTATTATTATTATTAGAAAAAACTTTGCTTTTATGAAAATTGCGCGGACGCAGGATTATGTAATTCTCTGTTAGATACAGATTCATATAGTTTTTTTTTCCGCCTTTCTGAAAATCCAATTCAGACAGGGATCGAAATTATGATGCCCTGAGCCGAGGTTCGAACCCCTAACGGTGCCCTCAGACTAAAATCGTATCCGTCAGGACGGAGTTGGCTTTCATCCGCTCCATAAGTCCTGCCGCGGGTTTGGAGTGCCATCTACACTCTCCTATCGTCCGGTGAAGCTGTAAAGATCGGCTGCGGCCAACAGCATTAGAGTAGTCAAAAAAAAAAGATAATTATATATTTTTTAAACTAGAACCTCAATTTTTATTTATTTCATTCAGGCTACATGCCATTTTGCAAATATCTTATAGACTAACATTCATATAAAATCGTAATTATATATAAATATAAAACGTCTGGTCACGGCACTAATGACGTCAATGGAAGCGCCGATACACCACACCCTTCGGCTAGTAGTCCTCCTTTATGTCCTTTAAGTCCCCACCAACATCCTGACTACCTTGTCAGCATGTTGGTGGGGACCCGAGCCACAAACGCTTTGAAACTGGCTTTGTGAACTAACCCCACCTGCATCATCCTCAAAGTCAGGTTACTTTTGGTGCTTATGTAGTCGACAATGGCCTGCTTCGTGGTGGTGTAGTGTAGGCGAGACAGGTATGTATATAACCATGGTCGGTGTAGCACGTAACAGAAAGTTGGGCCCAGTAAGAGTTTTTCCAGCATTTCAAAGCGTTTGTGGCCTGAGTTCTCACCAAGATGCTGCCCACCTTAGTGAAAGAGGACTATTGACTGAAGGGTGTGGTGTATTGGCGCTACTTTGACAGACTGCCTTATTCAGTGCCGTGACCACACAGACAATTTATATTTATTTTTTCTAATAATTATATCATTCATAGGTATGTTAGTCTGCAAGGTATTTATAACATGGACCATTAGTAGCCTGAATTTAATAAATAAAATAAAATAATGTTGAAATCTATAATAGAAATTAATTATGGTCTATACGCGTCTATATGGCTATGGTGCATAGTAGTGGCCACACAACGTAAACAAATCCTCGGAACGGTGAAGTTGCTCGCGAAGTCTGTGAAGACACTAGGAGACTTCTGAGCTTTTGGGAGGAACTTGGCCTAAGGGTCTAAAGTAGCCATTAGTACTCTCGGTTCTACACCTACATCGGCCCTGATGAGGGACTGATTGCGGAAAATGGTGTTCAACCTACATTACATTAAGGTCTAATTTCGACCATTACTTATTTATCATTAAAATGACTCACCGTTATATAATAAAAGTAGCGGCAACAATATAGAAAGCCACTTTTGTTCTATCGCCCAGTCGTGGGTAGAGTATTTTCTTAATGAATGTGCGAACCAACACTGCAACAAAAAAAAATAGTAAGTGCCTACCATTTGAGGCTGTAAAGTTCTTAGAATGGCAAACAATTTTTTTTTATTGGTTGATAATGGAATGGTGGACTTGTATACGCTGGCGGGGCACCTGTGGAGTTTGATAGGAAGAGCATGAGGTCAGGTCATTTGGCCCACAGTGACAACTTCACCAAGAATTTATCACGATGGTTTACAGGGCGAACTGCGTGGAGGTCAACCTGACATGGTAGATTGCTATCAATAGGGTCAACAGTCCACATTGCTAACAATTTGCCACGAATATACCATGTGAGATTGAACTCCCCGCAGTTCTCCCGGAAACCATCGTGAAAATTCCTGATGTATTTACCACGATTACCTAACTGACCTGACCTTATGCTCATCTTATCATCCTCCGCTGGAGCTCCGTCAGCGAAACCCATTAGCGTAGGCAGATGCACAATTCCATAATCCATTTAAAAAATGGGGTCATGAGGTCACTTAACTAACTTTCCCTCGCCCCATACAAATGGGTAAATGTATTCCTTACAGCCCCAGAGTAATGTTTCCATTTGTGTGATATTAATGTATGTTATATTACTAAAATACAGCAATTGTGAAGGTCGTCAGTAGAAAAATAAATCTGAACCAAGTTTCCATTTGTGTGAAACCTGGATTATAATGTTATATAAAAATAAACTGACTTTAAAAAAAAAAAATACAAAGTTTTATTGGATCTATATAAATACGGTAGGGAAAAAATAAAATTATAATAAACGGTAAAATGCATGAATAAATGATTTTTAAACCTCTAGACCACCGAGGCCGGCATCAGGATAAAATCTTAGTCTTCTAGAATGGTAACGCCAGAGAGATATCACGGATGTGCGCCATCAACAAGAAATTCATCCCCAGAAGCTGGAACCTAAGTGGTCTCGGCCAGTGTGGTTTCAGAGGAACTTTCTCCCGCGTACAGTTACATTGTGGAATGCACTACCTGCCGAGTTCTTGAAAGACTACATCATGGGGTTTTTCAAGAAGGGTTAGGTATATTAAGGTTTCTTAAGGGTCAGCAACGCGCACGTGACACCCCTGGTAGAAACACCAGGGGCTACGGTACGTACGGCGTCCATAGGCTACGGTAACTATTTACAATCAGATGGGCCGTATGCTTGTTTACCGCCATCGTAGTATAAAATAAATGTCTGTGGTGCTGTTCATCTATATTAGCTTGTTTGTTTCATTTATATAAAAAAGAGATATAAATACTAACATAGAATATAATTTCTTTTATATAATATCGTTTGTGGAACTCCTTGAGTCCATAAAATCTTATATTCAGTACGTAGTGTGTATACACGAGGGAACCTAAGTGCAGGATCATCACTTCGTCGCACACTTGCTCTTTACACTTTAGGTGTTGAGTTCTGTAATAGAAAACGATGCTGTTAACATTTATCTATTACCTTCTCTTTTCTTTATTGTCTATGCCTAGTGCCTATAATTATAGAAGTATTGTCTTTGATAACAGAACTTTAATAATGTTCCTTATAATTTAAATTATTTATGGTCGGATTTCGACCAATAGTAATAGAAGAGGTTCTGTTAATATTTATCGCGTCTTGCTAAATACTGACTTATTTATAATTTGTTTTTTAGCGTATTCTTGATGCAAACCAGCAAAATCGGCGTTAAATTTTAACTTTAAATCGTATTTCCAGTATTAATTTTTATAAATGCATTTTGTTACCTTTCGATAGCTATATATTTTTTGTTAATTGTTAATTTATTTTACTAGTAATTTATTTATGTGAACTTTGCTTTTTGGTTGTCTATATACACTGTAATTCTGAACAACTCTATCAAAGAGCAACACGCAAGATTCTTACACATTCTTCTTGTAATGAGACTAGGTTCCGAATGAGTGGTAGAATAAAAAAATATAACTATTCAAAAGTATTAAGTTTATTTGCATAAAGGTTATTTCTATTTCTGTTATTACCCTACGTACCTACAGAACTCTCAGTACAACATGAAATAATTGTGCGGGAATCGAATCCGGAAACATCGGAAGGTGAGCGTGGTAGACCAATAGTCCACTGAGGTCGTCAAAGTAATAATCATATTAATATACAATAATAATAATATAATATGAAAACAATGAAAGTCAGAAAAATCCAATTATTTTGTGACTTTCAATGTTTTCTTTTATTTCTTAGTGACTTACCGATTTGTTGCGGAACTCTCTGGTATGAGATTAACGGCTGTATGATCACTTAGTATTCCATCTATTGATATACTTATTTGAAAACTCTTATCAAATATCTCCTCTGAAAACAAAATTACCTATAATACTTTAATATTTAAAATATTAAGTTCAGTATAAAATAATTCATCAAAGTGAATCTAAAAGCGTTTTATTACTTAATGGATTTGTATAAATAAATAACCCAGGACAATTAACACTGGGCCATCTAATCCCAAGGTAGCGCAGAGCTTGTGTTATGGGTACTAGACAACTGATATTAAATACTTAGGTATATATATTTTTTGTAAATATATAGAAAACGCCCAGACCGATAGAAACAATCATACTTATAAATACAAATGTTTGCACCGTTGAGGAATCGAACCAGCAACTGTAATATTTTTAAACGATTATGTTTTTTTTAATTCGTATCTATTGGTTAAAAAGTATTATTCGAAATTGGTGGTTTCTTTTGCCATTATTTATATAATGACTGTGAAAGAGAATTTAAAACTAATTAATTTACTCTCGTGTATTCCATTTCTCGTATCTTCAACGCAATAGCAGTAGCGACCTTACACACTACAGATGTTATTGGATCTTGTCAAGGGCTTTTATAATTTTAAAAATGGAACGTACCGTCATTGTTATTGGTTAGTATTTCTGCCAACAGCCACAGTTGCTGCACGCGCGTGCCAAGCGCGGGACTGTGCAAATGGAACGGGCCCTGGTGTATATTGCTGGCGTTTGTCAGTAGCGTGGAAGCGGCTACCGACGTGGTGGACGTTGGTGACGGCCCTGGAATTTAAATAACAGAACATTGATATGAAGATGTAATAAAAAAAATATAGATATAAAGTATAGTATGTACATATTAAGAATAGAAAGAATGGAAAATCCTTTATTGAAACGGCCCTGGAATATAAAAAACACATTTACACTCTAGTGTCAATGTCAGTTTTGACACACTCACATCTATTATTGTGAATCTATACGTATAAATAAAATTGGAGTGTCTGTTTGTAATATTGAAGTAACAGTTTTTTACTACATGCATATGAATATAAGTAAGGTACATACACCAAAATAAGAGTTTTTACAATTTTTGCCCGTCTCTCTATTTGTTCCGGCTAATCTTTGAAATGGCTGGACCGATTTTGACGGGACTTTTATTGGCGGGTAGCTGATGTAAAAATTCTTTTATTTAAAAAAAATAAAGTTAAATTCCACGCAAACAAGTCGCGGGTGCAGATAGTTAAAAATAAGATTATTACTCTATGTCGAGACTCGTTTAATGACGTTGTTGCGAATAGCCTATCATTGTATTAAATATAAATTAAAAATAATCATAATTAAAGGCGCGTATTTTTTTTAAATTGTTTCTCCAAAAGACCAGGAACTTTTTAAGAACAGAAATGAAGATGTTATTTAAAAAAAAATCTATGTGAAGTATTGTATACATATTAAGAATAGAAAATCCTTTATACAATTGAACTTAATTTAAGCACTTTTGAATTGTCACAGTATGTAATATAATCTTATCTGTGGTCACAGTTATCCTTCTTCATTCGGAAAACTGTCTCATCACAAGAAGAATGAACATGAAACTGGCGTATTGCTCTGTTAAACAATCGTCAAAAATTTTTAAACTTTCTTTTTTATAATCTTTATGACTAAATTAGAAATGAGTTTATACCTTTGAATATTAATTAGTTCTAGTATTTTAGGGTCGACCTTGGGAGCAAGTCTTATTATACTCACAAAACTAATTAGAACAAATATTCAAGGTCGCACGCAAAGAAATTGGTACTTGAAAACTTTTGCTCCACATACAGTTGCCAACAACTGCCCCGCCCCGGTGCTCATAACTTTGCGTGTTTTGGCAAGAATAATTATGTACAATTCAAACATTGAATTTCTGAATTTGGTGATGCCAATCTAGAGTTCCACAGAATCTTTTAAAAATAATATCCGCTCTCTGTCTTTATAATATTAACTGGCTGACCCAAGAAACGTTGTATTGCCTTATATATTAATATCGCTATTAAAAATGGGGATTAGTGGTGGAAGAGTGAAGGAGTGTATGTATTTTTCAAAGCTAAATCATGACAACATCAAAATTAAAATATATATGTATATATCAGGGGTGGACAAGCCTTTGGATACTAGGGATATGAAAAATAGATAGTAGCCGATTCTCAGATGTACTGAATATGCATACTAAAATTTCATAAAAATCGGTCGAGCCGTTTCGGAGGAGAGGAGGAGTCTGGTAACTAAAATTGTGCGAGAATTTTATATATACGATATATATTTGGTTTTCTAATATGTATGTGCCTTCTCTATTAGATCCAAAACTTATTCACCATTGTCAAGGTCAATGTGAAGTTCGCACCTCTAACCTTGGTTTCCTGGTTTAATTTTAGGTTATTTTTTCGAACTATTGTAATGCAGGCCGCAGATGGCCTTTACAGCTTCACCAAACAATAAGGGGCAAGTGCAGATGGCACTCCAAACCCACGGAAGAACTTATGGAGTTGCTAAAGGTCACCTCATGACGGATACGACTCAAATCTGAGGCAACTCCGTTAGGGCGTCGTAATTTCAATCCCCGTTTGAATTGGACGGGTGATGAATCGAAGGGGACAGGGGATCGATCGGAGGGGGAGCCAATTTTAGGCACATACTTACTGAGAGTGTTGTGTATTTCTTGTTAAGGTAAGTTGTTGTAATCTAAAGGGTATAAATGATGATGGAACAGTAATCCATCTGCTCTAAATGCATTCGCTGGCGGGCACCAGGGGATATGAAATTTGATCAGTCAGCCTGCTGTGTTCAATTTGGCAAGACGTAGCTAAGATAGGTTTTAGGAGGGAGGGACATTAGGCATCCCATCCTCTCTATTCGACGAGACACTGATATTTGTGGAAGATTTTGTTAATAGTGCCAATCAAATATCACTTATTGGGAAGAACCACAGGAGAAGCGCAGAATATTTACCTAATTATATGTTTAATAAAACCACTTGGTATAATATAGTGCTATGTGAATGTATGAGATGTTTTTATGGATGATAATGGAGTAGCGCACCCGCCTGCGCTAACGGTTTACGCTGGCGAGGCACCAGTGGAGGATGATAAGATGAACATGAGGTCAGGTCAATTAGCACATCGTGACAAATTCACCAGGAATTTCTCACGACGGTTACCAAGGGGAACCGCGTGGAGGTCAACCTGGACAAATGGTATATTGCTAGTAATAGGGTTGAGTCCACATTACTAACAATCCTCTTTCCCACCTGTATGACACGTTAGGACGTAGGTTAGGGTAAGGGTTAGCCCTACGGCTGGGGAATTTAAAAAAAATGTCAGAGATTGAAGTACTTGCATAAATTACACGTTAAAGCTAAGATAATTATTCTACTATGAGTGTACCATATACTAGTATAAGATATCCAATAAAAATTAATCTCCATACTTTACTAATTTTCATTAATGTTGCGCACTGAAGATATTATGCATATTTAAAGCGCTAATGGTTATATTTGATAATGTAATAAACCCTTTAAACACCTGTTCATAGTCTAACTGCGACATGGGTTCTAGCTAATATTTTTAATAGGTAAATATAAAAAAATATCTTACCTGCTAATCCTATGAACACACCTAACCCGAAGCAAGCAAAAAATGCTATAAAAACCATCACAAACTCCCCTTTGTGCATCGAATATATTCTCATTTGGACTGACCTGAAAAATATGAATATTATACGCTGACACTCACGGTACTGTTGAGTTTTCCCAACAGAATTCCAGCAAAAAGAAAGAAATATAAATAATAATAATAATATAGTAAGTATTCACTTGGCACCAATATTTTAAGAAATTACGCACATAGTAAAACATATTTATTAATTTAAAATATACCGTTCACATCGGTCGTGGTGATATGCTGGCGCGATGTATTTATTAAATTCGCTAAACAGATCACTAAACTGCGACAATGTGTTGCGAATCTTATAATTCCACCCGCCAGACGGCAAATGATACGAATATCCTACATTGGCAGATTCCATGGTTCCCTGTGCCTCGTATTTATACCACTAATATTTAAAACAACAACGAAAAATATAATACTACGAAATAAACACACAAAACCTTAATTATTGTGTATAAATAAAGATTTTGTTATAGGAATTGTTTGCCCCACATGGAGGGCTTGTTTACAAGTGGATTATTGATTTTAGTGCGAGGCAAAACTTTGAGGGTTATCGAGTAGAAAATATAGTCAGCGAATGTCATAGAAACTCGTTAAAATACTTGAATAATAAAAATGTATACTTCTAAATATATTAATACATCATATTAATCAAATATTATGTTAGCGAATGACAAATTACAGTAATAAATGTTTGTATTTTTGTTTTTCGCGCCATCCATACGCCATTTTGAAAGATTATTGCTCAGTGAGACGAAAGAGTCGCAGTCAAATTTCTCTTTCACACTTACTGAATTTATAAATCGAATAAGTGAGAGCACAATACAGCGAAAAGGTAGGCCAAAATGAGTTGCCAGTTGGTAAAATAAGTAGTGTAGTTTCTTTTATTATGGGTAGCGTATGAAATCAAATAATTTAAATTACGATTTGAAGATTGGTGTCGAATAAATTTTAATTTTACTCCAAGTATTCGTAATATACGTATATTTTCTCTCTCTTAAGAGAATGTTCTAATTGTATTTATCTATAATAACCTACTTCTAAGGTGCTATATTTACGCTAATCACATTTTTTATTCTCAACTATTGTGCTTAGCGACTATAAGTATTACTTAAAGTAGCTAAGCACAATAGTTATCATGTAGGTATTCTGGGTACTTATCATGTAATATTGTTGTGTTATTATTATGTATTATCATAATAGATTATAGTGATAATCTATAGTGTCTATAGGTACATTAATATAAAATTGGAGTGTCTGTTTGTAATATTGAAATAACCGTTTATTACTACATGCATACGAATATAAAATGAATATAAATATGGTTCATTTCATTCATAATTTAAGAGCTACGCTCTTGTCGGTGGAGCTCTCGCCACTTTCCGCGATCTTCCATCATGATAATTCTTGATACGACACGGCTCCCATTTTGTCCTCAATTTGTTTGATGTAGCTATTCCTTGGTCTTCCCCTCCCCCTCTTTCCTTCTATTTTCCCCTCAATAATAATTTTCATGAAATCATCGTGCCGTATCAAGTGTCCTAACATTTTTCCTCGTCTATTTTCTATTGTGTTCAATATATGCCTTTTTTCTTTTACCCTGTGTAGTACTTCTTCGTTTCTTACTTTACTTTAAATAAATAAATATGGTACATAATCAAAATAACATTTTTTACAATTTTTGTCTGCTACTAAGCAGCTAGCTGTCAAGCTACTAGATGCAGACACGTCAAACTTATAAACCTCTCTTGTAAAGTAAAAATAAAAAGAAAACAGACTGAGCGATTAATATAGAAAGTATAATATGGAGGATGTATTTAAAATTTATTTCATATATAGTAAATTTATTTCTTTACGCACGTGACACCCCTGGTGCCTGAGGTGTCCATAGTCCGTCCATTTTAAAACAGGTTATTTTATTTATTCTTAATATATGCTAAGCTATAGTAGCAGAATTAAAAACCACTGTCTTTGGAAATACTTTTTATTTAAAAATCTTTCTTATTGTAATCACATGCAAATAAATCAACATAGTATATTAATAAAGACGAATCTGCAGATTCGTTTTTGTTAAAATAACTAGGAACTTCCTTTTTAAAATTGGAATCACATACAAAGTTACAAAGAATATAATTACAGAATTTTGTACATCACACTATATGGGCTCTCTAGGTCCCGGTTGCCTGGTTTAGGTAGCTGGAGAATTTAAAGACGTATGAACTTGAATATTAGGTGCAATTTAGAATAGTAGTGGCTGGTGAGTGCCTGATGACTAGTCTTCTCGCCTATAAATTTAGTATAAAAGTTACCATAATTATTATAAGTTACAGAATAGAGAACCCTGTTATATAAAATTGTTTATTGATGTTGGAATTATTTATTATTAAAAATGTAACTTAACAAAGCAATTGAAAAATGTCATTATTTTCAGATCTTAGGATACTAATTTGTCATATCAGCAGTTAATAAATGACAATTTCACTGTTGCTATCAGGGTTGCCAATCGTACGATGAATTTTGTACTGGAACGAATTTTTTGGTTTTCCAAAGCAAACAAAAATGTCATGATTTTCTGATCTTAGGCCACTAATTTGTCATATTAGCAGTAAATAAATACTCTGTTGCTAGCACAAATTCACTGTTGCTAGCAGGGTTGCCAACCGTATGAGGACCTTCATGCAGGAACGAAGTTTTTGGTCTTCAGTACAAAAACATCTTCATCCTCGTACAAGTTTATAAGCATATCGATCTAAATAAGAGATTACATATACAAGACTAGAGAGTTCAATTAAGCCATTATATATAAAAGATTTTTGACTTCTTCATTTGAGTATGATCTTTTATAATTGGCCACTCTGGTGGGCAACCAGAGTGGCATTAGCATAACTAAAGAAGACTAATGTAACATATTGCTCATTGAAGTATAGCTACTGATTATTTTAGACTCTAGAATTCTACATCGTCTCAAAACTGTAGTCTGATATTCGCTTTACCTATCCTCAATTGGCAAATAAAAAAAAGTATGTAACTCCAGACCAGATAGTGTAGATAAAGTTTTTGGTACCATAAACAAAATTTTAATGTTTTGGTTTTGTTTAGAAACTTTGCTTATTTACTATTCATTGAAATCTTATAAGTTATTGTAACAATATTTCTTATTAGTCCAATTCTTTTGGATCAATATCGACCATTGTAGAAAATATTTTGATTACTTTACAATACATATCATTTAAGACTTTATTATCTAATAAAATAAAACTCATTATTCTTAAGCACCCTGCATTACACATATATTTTGGTTTTATTTGACTTGGTGTTAAGCACTGGTGACATAAAAACTCAATTATTGAAAATATGTAAACGGTATTTGTTGTATTAGAAATTTTAAAAAATCTACTAAAATTATATATTTCACTTAAAAAGAAAAAAATCTTAGCAAAACACCAATCATAATTATTTTTCTTAAAACTACACTCTTATATAGAGATTTTTTGTACTATGAATCAAAAATTACAGTTACATAAGGTCTAATTTTCTTCTTTATAACATCTGAAACACTAATAATGAATACTGTATACTATACATATAATGTTTATAGAGAAGATCGGAACCTAATATTAATAAATTAAGCTCTAGGTAACGAAGAATAAGAGATATTACACTAAAAACTCATTGACAGTGTAAAACTTCATTTGCAAGTCAAATATCAACCATATTGTCTCTCTTCTTACCATGTAGTAATAAATAATATCAACAATATGAGAATTTGACTTAAACAGCCACTTCAATAACAATGGCAATGTACGGTTAGCACCAAAAGTAAATTAACATATTTTCAAATTTATAAAGCACCATACAGTTTATAAAATACTAGCTGTGCCCGCGGTTTCGCCCGCCTTAAATTTCAATAAAAAAAATAGCCTGTGTTATTCTGATGCATAAGCTATATTAATGTAGTTTCATCAAAAGCCGTTCAGTAGTTTTTCCGTGAAAGAGTAACAAACATCTATACTTAGAAATTTTCGCATTTATTACATTAATAAGATATAAATTACTAACACAATTGAAAAAACTGATTTTACCTAATGTTGTTTGGCTAAAGTTAGTAATTCGTTTTATGGCAATTGCGTAAGGTTTCACAATAAAATACCAGAGTCTGTTATAAATCTGCCAGAAAAAAGATTTAAATGTCAAATAAAACAGTTCCTTTAAAAAAAGCTTACTATAAAATTGAAGAATTCGTTAACGATAATAATGTTTTTGTAGAAAAATTTTAAATACATAGCACTGACAATATTATCTGATTACACTAATAATGAGTGCGTAGCGATTTCTATGTTGGTTGTCGCATGCCTCTTACTTGTTACACTGTAATTATTTATATAAAAAAAACATCTATTAAAAAGAGCAACACACAAGTTTCTTGCTCATTCTTCTTGTGATGAATCTGCATTCCGAATGAGTGGTAGAATCAAAATATGACTATTCAAAAGTGCTTGTAATGAGTTTATTTGAATAAAGATTATTTCTATTTCTATTTCTATTTCTATTGAAAGAACATTGTATGAGATCAATGTATCAAAATTAGTTCAATTTGGTCAACGATTTACATCTGTAACAGTGTATAAACAATTTGTTAATTTGTGTGTGTTAATAATATTTTGGTGGTGACTGTACATAGAACGGAATTAGAATTATTGCTTGATTATTGCAATGGCCAGATTACTGTGTAAATACGTAAATATTTTAACATATTGTGATGTAGTAACAAAATCAGTATATCTGGCAACACTGATTAATATTATACCAAAGTTGTCTATGGTCTTTTTAATTTTTAATGTACTAGCGTTGCCAATTTTGATCGTACGATTCGATACGTAGAAATCAAATGAAATGCCTGATTAAAAAAACGCGCGTAAAAAATCGTACGTCGAAAATTCGCGACACCGATTACACATAGACTTTTATACATTATTAATAGAACACAACGAATTTCCATTATACAAAATTACAACAAATATTATTTACAATTATTCAAAATTTAAAAAAATAAGTAGAATCATTTACACATTTCACTAAGTTTTGTCTTGTACAAGTAACGAAAGATACGTACAGTCAGCAGCGAGTTAAACGAATGATGCGCGGTCGACATACGAACCTTATTACATGGTGATACGGTTCACTGGGATACGATTTTCGCTGTTGACCATACTGGAAAGATTTTAATTATAGACTAGTAGTATTTTGAGGCGTATCTTCTGGAATATTCGTGGTGATTACTTCTGTGATGTTCAACCCTCCTGTTGCGTTGTTAGGACTGTATGGAACTGGCGTTGTGACGTTTGTAACGGGGACTGGTGATGATTTGCCTGCGAAGCAAATTTGTCCTTATTGTTATCTAGTTATAAAGTGTAAGTTTCCTTGATAAGCGTTCCATATTGATACAACTTCACGAGTATTGTTGGAATGTATTCAGAGTAGGTAGAGACTAGGCCAGTCACATAAAAAAGTAACCTAAATTGATCATTGAAATTAACACATCTATTATGGGTTTGGTGATCCAGCGTGTTAGCACACTGCATAACTTCCGTTGATCACGTGTTCGATTCCTCGCACGGTGCAAGCAGTGGTATTCATGAGTATGATTGTTTGTATCGGTCAGGGGTGTTTTCTATGTATATTTAAAATTAAAAAAATATGTATCGCAACGTATTTTATATCAGTTGTCTAAGTGAGAACCTATAACACAAGCTCTGCATTTAACTTGGGACTAAATTTGACGCTGTGTGAATTGTCAACAAAAATATATCATAATATTATTATCATTTATTATTATACTTACTAGTAACATAATCTTGGAACCAGCGATTGATGTCAGCGGAGTAGCGCTTGATCCACTCAATGCGTAGCGTCGCCGCGTCGATCAACTTCTGTAAGGTCTGCGACATCGGCAACAACTCTTCTTTGTGTTGCATTGCGAATGATTTCAGCTAAAATAAAAAAAAAAATTGAATGGAAAACAAGTTGGCGGCTGTCTTGATATGTATAGGTAAGATACTGCAATTAATTAAGGTTAGTAAATAACGGCCTCGTCGGTCCAGCGGATCTCGCTACAGCTGGCAACATTATTTGAAAATTTGACATTTACATCTGTCAATTTAGTGTTCGGGATTAAAAAACAGACTATACATAACCTTATTCTATATCTCGAAATAAATACATTTGATACTTTTATTATAACTGATTGTACTGGTCTACTATTATTAAAAATTCTCTCTCTTCCTTTGATTTTTTGTTCTTTGTATATCTACAATCAGTAAGTATTAGTATATATGACCTAATGCGATTATAGTATAATCCTATTAGTAAATGACGATGCAAGTCTGCAGTTCATTGAGTGCACGACTTTTTATATTAAGTAATCAAGAACTGTTAAAACAGTAATAGCAAATCTGCTGTGAGCAGTATAATGGTGAATATCACAGGCGCCATCCGCAACAACCACTGGTTGAGGTAAAACGTCGCGATGATGACGGCATCACACCAATAACCAGTAGGAAGCTCCGCTCATTACGCGATATATGTGAGCACCAATCAAAACGTGGATACTCCATCCCTATGTAATTTTTATTTGTTTTAAGTTGTTGCAAGGTATAGGTAGCGAACTTTGAGCGGGCGGGCACAATAGATCTATGTAGGTCTCAGTGCTACAGGTGCAGGTATCTGACAATAGCCCAAACAACCCTATAAAAAAAAAGTTGTTGCTATAAACGCTTCATGAGAAGAGGTCACAAGTTTGATTTATCACACTCTTCCTTATCACAAAATAAATTAACAAGAACCAAGATTCCTTTGATATTAAGTTTTTTTTATACACTTGTATACTAAAGTTTTGTTACCTTATTGAGTTCATCAATATTGGATATGAACCCGAAGGCTCCGCTGAGCACCGTGGGGAACATGAAGGGATCCATTGCTGTGAATCTGTCGTAGACGCGCCGGAAGTTGTTGATGAGGAAGTCCTGCGCCAGTCTGGTACCCAGTGGAGCTTCTACGGTCCACGCCGCGATGGCGTACTGCTTCGGGATCTCCGTTATACTCTTCTCCAGCAACCTGATGGACAAGAATTAATAATAATATTAAAAAACTACCAACGAGCTGTGAAAATGAAATAATAAAATACAATTGTGAAAACAAGCAACTTGTTGATATGTCTGTCCTAGTCATCACTATAAAATTAACAACTATATATTGTGGAATTATAGAATATCAATAATAATAATAGAAATAGAATTAATTTCTATTAAAATATCCTTAATATAAGCTCTTTTGAATAGACATATTTTTATTTTACCACTCATTCGGAACGCAGACTCATCACAAGAAGAATAAGCAAGATACTTGCGTGTTGCTCTTTTGTATAAATGCTATTCTAAGTAAATATACAATAACAAGGATTAGGCGTGCGACAATAAACATAGAAACCGCTACGTACATAATTTTTGTGCAATCAGATAATTTATGATTGCCCTATGTATTTTTAGTAAGATATATACTACAAAAACTTTAGTTGGCGCGAAAGGTAATTTATTCATATGATACACATATTTTCCTAGCCACACATATCTACATATATATGTCTATGCATCTATTGTCGCTAGCCGATAGCTACTTGAGATAACGAGAAATGGATAGAAACTGGTACATTTTTTTCATTATCTCATAGAACAAACCTTCAGAATTTACTGACAATGCTTTTAATTATTATTTTTAATTAATAAAAAATACCAGTAAAACTAAGCTGTTCTTTTGGCATGCGACAACGGTTTAAGCTAGTGCCCCACCAGTGGAGGATGATAAGATGAAAATGAGGTATGCCAGTTAGCATTTAGTGATAAATTACCATGAAATTTGGTTGATGGTTTGATGATTATTGATTTGATGATGATGAAGGATTTAATGATGATGAATGATTAGATGATGATGATTTATGATTCTATTATGATTAATGATTTGGTGATGATTAATTATTTAATGATGATGAATGAATAGATAATGGTGAATGGTTAGATGATGATGATTAATGATTTATTATGATGAATGATTTGATAGTCAAGAATGATTTGATGACGATGAATGATTTGGTGATGATTAATTATTTAATGATGATGAATGAATAGATAATGGTGAATGGTTAGATGATGATGATTAATGATTTGATGATGACGACGATAGTTTCTTAGGGGAACTGCAAGGATGTGAAGCCAATATAATACATAATAGGGTTATTAGTCCACATTTCTAACAATCCCTTTCCCCCTAATTTGTACTATGACAGCGTTACTTACATAGTGATGAGCCCCTCCCTGCTGGTACTCGGCAGGTTGTTGATGACGATACTCTTGACAGTGGGATCGGTGGAGTTCAGGAACACGTTCCAGAGGAATTCGAACTCCTCGCGACCACCATGTTTTAGTACAATGTTGTACACTAGCGAACGAAGGTAGCTTGGTATACTGTGGGCATAATTTATAATTAAAATTACTGTTGTAATTTAATGCGGTTGTCTTAATCATTACATAGTATATAATAAAGTCGCTGTCTCTCTGTCTGTCCTATGTATGCTTAAATCTTTAAAACTACGGATTTTGAAGATAGAGTGATTCAAGATGAAGGTTTATATGCATAATACATGTAGCGAGTAGCTATTATTATATATGTATTTACAAAAAGAAAATTATCTAAGTAATTATATCAGTTGTCTAGTATCTATACCACACTGGAACTAGATGGCGCTGTGTGAATAGTTACATATTATTGTACTAAAACTTACGGATTATTATTAATGTCTGTTTGATTTGCCCATTTATTAAACTCATCCCTCGCCCACCGCAAACACCTAGGTGATTCGACGAAGCACTCCCACATCACCAAATTCTCAATAAGGAATGCCTCATTATCGTTCTTTGGTTTCTCTAGTCCATAATTTAGTCTTTCTAGCTGAGTCTTCAATATTAGCCTCATGTAATCCTGTAACCAGTATAGAAATAAATGTTAACTCATATATAACATATACATAGAAATAAGAAATAAGAATATGTGATTGTTGATATGTAAAAATTTTGTAAAACATCTATGTCAATGAATTTATTATTATTAGTATAACATATGTTAACCGAGGAATTCCTTTTATAATTACGCAGCGTATAACGGGCGCTGTCTCTCACAAGAACGTGTCAGTACGTCTGCACAATATAATGTTATGTATATATTTTTGATATGAAATATTCCACCCGCTCCGGGTTCTAGGGCGCAGCAGAAATTTAAAAAATGTGGGAAGTTTATGAGGTGTGTGGGATGGTCGAGAGAGACGAGAGAATAGCGGGAAGTTTATGGGGTGAAAGGCGAAGGAAGAGACGAACGAGGGATACTGCAGTTATATGTTTCAATTCCACAGTATTTAAACAAATAATTGCAGCAGTTGGGGATGTCAGGGTCGCGTATCCGATGTTCTTACTCAAGCAAAAACCGCTAGAGCAGAATTTACCTCTGACCGAAATACATCATGTACTTAGAATATTACAATTTAACGAATCGAGTCTAAAGTAAAATTATTTTTGATATGGTCATAACGTATTATCCGTGAGCATTCTCAACGGTCATGTTAGATATGGAAGAAATTTTAATACGAAAACTTCTAATATGTATACATAGGTCCTACACGTGCACAAAAGTTTGACGTTTGACGTATTTATACGTCCGGCTCGGTTAACAGGTTAAAGGGTGATATAATAATAATATTATGTAATGTAATGTAGCCTAATTTATAAAAAAACTCTCTTTAATCTGTGCCCTTTCCACAATGTGCTATTATGGTAGAAACTTGAAATGATTCTAGATTAAACTACATTTGTATTCTTGAGTATGATCGTTTGTATCGGTCTGGGTGTTTTCTATATATAATATGTATGTATTTACGAAAAGAAAATATATCTATGTATTTGTATTCGTTATTTAGTAACCATATAAGTTTTAGCTATCTTAACTTGGGACTAGATGGCGCTCTGTGAAATGTCTTGAGATTATTATTATTATTTACCTATAGATATAGATTTCTCATACTATCCTCTTCTAACTGGGAACAGACTGTAAAGTACAATTTTACTACATACATACCTGAAAGTAAATAAATCCTGAAGTGGCCTTCAAGTTGTGTCTCAAAAATCCCATATTATTCAAGAGTAGGTCCCAAACAATCTTGGCATCCTCTCCATCTATGACACAGGTGGTGAGACCCAACGCGTAGCTATAGTTCAGTTGAGCGGCTTTAGCCAAATTGAAGGCATCATCAATGAGTTGTGCCTTTGTTATCGGCGAGTTCACGTGCCCAGACTTCAGCGCTTTGCTGAGTAACTCCCAATTCTTTTTGTCGTAATTCACACGGTAATAACCTGTTAAAGAACGTAATCTTACTAAAGTTATAAACACGAAAATCTTAGGAATACGTGTACAGAGTAATAAAAAAAAAATAGGCCAAAAGAATGTCGACATAAAGGAAGCGGCAGAATTTACCCTTTATTTAAAAATAAATTATTAATACGAACGTTTGTGAGTATGGATGGATGTTTGTTACTCTTTCACGTAACAACTACTACATCACCATCATCATCTTCATCATCAATATCTTGTACTAATAGTATAAACGTGTAAGTTTGTCAGTATGGAGGGAAAAATGAATGGTTGTTACTCTTTCACGCAACAATTACTACATCATCTTTATCATCATTGTCTTAGCAGTATAAACGTGGAAGTTTGTGAGTGTGGATGGATCTATGTATGCTTTTTACTCTTTCACGCAAAAACTACTGAACGAATATTGATGAAACTTTACAGTAATATAGTTTTTATAACCTATACTGATGTATAGGTAATAAAGTTATAAATCTAACGCGGATGATACGGACAGAGCTAGTAACCGTTAGTGCACCCGCTTGCACTAACGGTTTACGCTAACGGGGCACCAGGGGAGGATGATAAGATGAATACTGACTATTCATCTTCAGTTAGTCCATCATAAAATTGACCGGGATTTATCACGACGGCTTCCAGGAGGAACTGCGTGGAGGTCAACTTGACATGTATACATGGCTAACAATGAGTCATCAGTTCACATTATTGACAATCCTCTTCCCTCCGGTTATTATTATAACTAGCTACTCGCCCCGGCTTCGCACGGGTGTACATGTATTATACATATAAACCTTTCTCTTGAATCACTATATCTATTAAAAAATCACTCTTATCTATTAAACGGATTTTGAAGCGGTTTTTTCAATACAGACAGCGACTGCGACTTTGTTTTATACTAGTAATGATACTAACCAACAGCGTCTACGTTGATATATAAAGCTTGACTTTGGTTAACAGGTAGGATGACAGTTTTAGCACGCTCGCTGAGCCATAACTTGGGCTGGGCGCTCCATTCATTGCGAGCAGCTGTAGTGAGCGCGGTATAGCTGATGGGGATATGCCATAACTGATCCACCATGTTTTGGTACGGTTCTTTGGTACTTGTGAATAGCCTCTGAAAAGAATATCTGAAGATAATTGCTGAGAAGTCTAACATAAATATAAAGTTTGTTAGGTAAAAAACTGGTCCCATAACCAGATATAATTAGTGAAAATAAAGAAATATGCTTATAGACGTTTATTATAGAGTGGAGTGACAGAAGTGTATATAAAACTATTGTATAAAAAAATCACATATTTTAAATATGGACAAATGAATATACAATTGTGACAGTGATTCTCATTGTAGGTCTAACAAAAAAAAGACTATATAAAAACGTCAATGTATACAAATAAATATAATTGAAGCGTCTGTTTGTAATTTCAAATCAACAGTTTTACACTAAATGCATATAAAAAATTCTGTCTTGCTAATATATGATACGTCTGGACCGATTTCAACGGGACTGTGACTCGCAGATTGTTAATATTTTAAGTAGTAACTTAGCGTAGGCTAAGTTACTACTTAAATAAATTTAAATAATAAAAAAATTAATAAATTTTCGAAAATTAGAGTAGCTCTAATTTTAGAAAATTTATACATATTAATAAAAAAAATGTTAAATTCGGCGTACAAAGTCGCTAGTTAGTGATAAATAATTTTTGCTGTAAATCTGAGGTTTAACACTCTAAACAGACAACATTGTATACATATAAAAAGAAAACATCGGCATTAACAGGATCTTACTTCTTATTCTTCTCATTTGATTCGCTCTTGATAGATCGGACGTGGACATTATGTAGTGGTTTTTTGCCACCATAGTAGGTTTGCTTATTTGCCAGCATAGTATTATAAAAAAAAAAAGAAGAAGTGGAATGAGAGGCAGATGTTATCCGCCTCATGACAGCTCGCCATTCCTCCTTCCTGGCTGCCATTCCGGTATACTCGTGGAGTGTACCGCCTACAACAGATATTACTGACCTGTTGAAATTCCACTTCCCCAGTCTCGTAGTTCCGTATGACGTTGACGACCGGATACCCGGCTTGGCGAGTCCAGCTGTTCATGAACTTTACCAGAGACAACTCCTTGAAATCCGGGAGGGCGGCGGTAGCTTTTGACATAGCGGCCCATAGGTCATTTTCTTCGGCGTTCGTGTATTTCCTGGGTTCACATTAATGGGATTAAAAATTAATTGTAATGTAGTATTCAATAATAGACAGAGTGATTCAAGAGGAATTCAAGAGTTTATATGTATAATACTTGCTTGTTATAGTATAGAATAAGTTGAGAAATTCAAATAATGCATCCGTGTGAAGCCAGGACTGGGTGTTAGAGTAGGGTATCCCAGTATTTGTCCTAGTTGAGGGCATATGGGGAGCGTTCAGGGTAATGTAATTATTTTAGATTTAATATAATAGTAATTAATTTAATAAATAGTATATCAATAAAAACTGATTATTAAAATAATTTGTAACAAACTGTAATAAGATTCTGTTTTGTTAAGATACATTTAAAATGATGATTTCTGACATTTTCAACTGTATTTTATTACACGGACTATGTTTAAAAAAACCTGTTGTCATGTCTGAGTTCTGGAGTCTATACACCGGGGTTTTCACATCTTAGTTTTAAAATTTCAGAGATGACAACCCTACTAAGGTAGGGACAAATAAAACTTACCAATCATTAAGGTAAATAACTAGTCCTTTATGGAACAGGTCTTCGGTGATTGTGTGGTTCAGCATACGAATCAAGTTGCTCCCTTTAGTGTACGATATCTCGTCGAACTTCTGCGATATTTCCGATGCATCAATGACTTTCCTGGATACAGGTGATGTGTTCTTCAGTGCGTCAGACCTTAGCAGGTCCATTTTGTCTCGAGTCAATGACTCTAGCATATTCCAACTTGGTTCAATCTGTAATTCCGATGAAATATTAATTTTAATTTAATTTCTGTTATATTTGACGACCTCGGTGGTCTAGTGGTTTAGTTCCGATGGTCGCAGGTTCGATTCCTCACAGAATTTCCTCAAATATTTGTATTTATAAGTATGATATTCATGAGTAAGTCAAAGAATAGTAGTTATATATATTGTACAAACAGTTGGCGTTTGCAATCGGATAATATATACAATTTGGGAGGAGTGGGATTGTTAGTAATGTGGTAAGCAAACCATGTCAAGTTTACTTCCACAGTTTAAAGCAATGGTCCTCCTGGAAAACATCGTGATAAATTCTTAGTCAATGCCACAATGGGTAATTGACCTGACCTCATGCTGTTCTTTTTATCATCCACTGGTGCCCCAACAGCCTAAACCGTTAGTGCTTGCGTGAGCGCCATTCCATTATCATCAATAAAAATATATAATATTTATAAGATTTCAATATAATTTTATAAATGGATATGCTGATCACATATAAAGTGGGATAGTACGTAGTGTGGACACTTAATTATGCAGTCCACTCCAATCGATCCCCCGTCCAATTCAAACGGGGATCGCAATTACGACGGCCTGAGCCGAGGTTCGAACCTCTAGTGGTGCCCTTAGACTAAAGTCGTATCCGTCAGGCAGGAGTTGGCCTTCAGCCGCTCCATAAGTCCTTCTTTGGTTTGGAGTGCCATCTGCACTCGCTGGCCAACAACATTAACGTCCAAAAAAAAAACTTAATTATGCATGCCAAATTCTGATGAAGAGTGTGATTCATAAATCACAATTTATTCCATCTTATAAACTACTTTTTAGGCAAAGTAAAGACATTTGTATTTAGTGTAAAAAAGAATAAGAGATATATATATATACATACATATATATATATATATATATATTGTAGTATATACATAAAACTCACGCGATCAACCCCGACGTACTCCACATATGTGGCGAAGCCCTCGTTGAGCCACAGATCGGTCCACCACCGCATGGTGACCAGATTTCCGAACCACTGGTGAGCCAGTTCATGGGCGATATCAATGGCCACATTCTGCTTGTCGCGAGGTACACCTTCCTTCTCGTCGAAGAGGAGTGTTGTTTCCCTGATGTAAGAAAAGGATGATAATTGTTATAGAAATTACAAATAAGCTGATGACCAAGTGAATGACGTGAAGAATTATCTGATGGAAAGTAACTGTTCATCCATTTATAACAGCTAAGAGGAGACTTGTCTCTCTGATGCTGCTAAGTATCGTTTAGAAAAAGTCTACGGGTCTTCTATGGGAATAGGTATAAAATATTACAATACAATTCCTAAGTATATACTGGAATTACCTTTATATAAATTTATCTGTAAAAATTATATTTCTTGAGCAAAGCTTATTACTTGCTAACCAACAAGCGTGCATACAATGTAAATAAAGAATTATAAATATTAATTAAAGAATTAAATAAAGAAAAAATTATGTTTGATTTGATTAGAAAAAGATAGATTACAGAAATTACAAAGAAGCTGATATCCCCATTCGATGGTAACTGATCTTTAACAATAGGCCTCTTGTTAGGGCCTTTGTACTTGCGGACTTTCAAAGCATAAATGCTTTTACAATAATAATACAACCTTATGAAATTTTATTTGCCTTGTGTTCTTTACTTAATCCAAAGTAATTAAATGTAACTAATTTTAAAGCATTACTCTATGATCTCTTTAGCGACTTTTAATCATATCGGTAGAAAACCAGATATTACCAATTTTACGTGTCAAATAAAATTGTACTTACCTAAAAGTGATTAGGCCCCAATTTTCCATGGCACCACTCGAGAAATCCGGTATCGCTATTAGATCTAGCTTATCTAATGCATATGGAACTCCGAAGAGGTCTTCATAATAATCCAACAGTTTGGGCGTAATGCTAATAGCGTATTTAGCTTTATCTATCAGTTCTGGTCTGGTCCATACCCTGATTGGTTTGGTTATGTTGTCTTTACTTAGGTAAGTGGTATTCAGTGATTTGAAGTCTGATAATATGTAAGCAACAAGGTATGTGGACATGTTGACGGACCTGTCGAAGTGTGTCCATTGCCACCCTGGTCTCTCAGTGCTGTAAATGTGTGAAGAAAGAATAAGAATTAAATGTAAAGAAATAGTAATAGAAATAGAAATAATATTTATTCTAATAAACTTAAAATAAACACTTCATAGACATATTATTTTAGTCTACCATTCATTCGGAACACAAATTGTGTTCATTACCATTCTGGTCTCTCAGTGCAGTGAATGTGTGAAGAAGAATAAGAATCAATTGGAAAGAAATAGAAATAATATTTATTCTAATAAACTTAAAATAAACACTATAGTTATATTATTTTATTCTACCACTCATTCGGAACGCAAATACTGTAAATGTGTGAAGAAGAATAAGAAATAATTGGAAAGTAATTGAGATAATATTTATACGAATAAATTTAATAAGTGCATTTTTAAATAGCATTATTTTACCAGCATTCGGAACCCACTCATCACGGGAAGAATGAGCAAGAAGATTGCGTAAAAGAAGAAGGAACATAAAGAATCATTGTATTTCAACCAACCATACATTATGATAATGAAAAAATATGTAATTATAATCAAACAAGCACATCCCATACACCCGCCTGTCGCCTTCAAGCGGGCGGGCGACCTTTTGAAAATTTTTCCATATGATAAAAAAATTCTTACGGTAATATTCCTGGACAAAATAAGATAATAATATTTTTTTACTGATATCAAAATTTGTAAATTGAATTAGTAATTAGCTCGCTAATTGATGCCGCATTATTTTCGATGGTCGCGGGTTCGATTCCTCGCATGGTACAAACATTGTTTCACTAATATTATGTATGTATTTTCCATAAAAAAAGGTATATATATATATAAGTTTTCTAGTCCCTATCAGTGATGCTCTGCTTAGCTTGAGACTAGATGGCGCTGTGTGTATTGTCCAGGGATATTATTATTATTATAATTAAGTAAAAATGTGACTTACATTGGTTCTTCATTGATAACTTTCATGTTGGACAGAGCTGTAATATTTGTTGGATGTGCAATGCTTATTTCGAATTTCGCTTTGAATGCCGGCTCGTCGAAACATGGGAACGCAGCTCTGGCTGAAGTTGGTTCAAACTGGGTAGCACCTAATTTTCTGAAATAGTAATAATCTTTATTCAAATAAGGTTCCCCTCAACTATGGTTAAGTGCAAAGATGGCTGGCTCGTCCGTCATACTCGTGAACGGGTGTGGCATGTGGGGAACTGGTCTGTTCAGGTTGCGAACACTGATTAAATTTTTTGTTCTTTGCGATAGCATGTGCTGGTGGTCACTCTATTCTCCCAATTTTGAATTTTAATGACTGGGTATTATTATAAACATGTTCCACTATTATTTGAAAGAAATACGAGCTGAGTTTCTTCTCATCTCGATATCATTCCGAACTGAAAGTAGATTTGACATATCATAAGAAACTGTAATAGACCTACACGAATAAAGATAATTTGAATTTGAATAAACTTAATACACTAATAGCACTGAATAATCATATTTTGTTTATTCTATGTCTCATTCAGAGTGCTGACTCATCACAAGCAAAATGATTAAGAGAGAATGATGCAAGACACGAGTTGCGGCAGATCATACGATATGGCGCCTCTACCTTGCACATAGAATAATATTTTTTAAAACATCATTGAAATATTTTAACAAATCACATGATTTTTTAATGGGTCATAATGGAATGGTGCACCTGTCTGCGCTAACAGTTTAAGCTGGCGGGCACCAGTGGAAGATGATAAGAAAAACATGTCAGAACTCGCAATTTCAATACTAGTCCCTATTATTAGAACCTGTGGTTTCAATATCACAAGAATAGGAAAGAGGCATTATGATATTGTTTTTATTAATAACAAGCTGTACCCGCGACTTCGTCCGCGTGAAATTTAACTTTATTTTTCTAAAATGAAAGTAGCTTAAGTTACTCCTTATTACATCAACTATCTGCCAAAAAGAGTCCCGTTAAATTCGGTCCAGCCATTTCAGAGATCCAGAACAAACAGACAGACAAAAATCGTAAAATATGTTATTTTGGTGTATGTACCATATTTATATTCATATGCATGTAGTAAAAAACTGTTATTTCAATATTACAAACAGACATTCTAATTTTATTTATATGTATAGATAACAAATGCCCTTACTCTCATTTTAGACATACATATGTAGTAATTTTGTTTTTATTTGTTTTTAAAGTTACTGTTATGGTGAATTAAACAATCAATTTTTCCACATTTCTCTGAAAATATATATCAGTAACTCAACAGACAGAGAATAATTCTTTCATTGATTTTCAAATTAGATTTGTTACCAGTGTTTACTATTGCCAGACAGAAAGACAGAAATTAAAATAGTAATTTATAGACTAGTAGTGGATTAAATAAATTTAATATTTTAATAATTAAATGTTTTAAATATATTTAGTTGTTATAAGAATACAGAAAAAATGACACAATGAAAATTATTCCTTTCAGTATTCTGAAACAATTTGTAGTTAGTATTAAGAATTAGTTTATTTAAGAATACATTTGCTACACAAAACATGAATTTAAATTATATTTCAGTCAACAAATGTGATTTTATTTTACATTACTCAAGATTGTTTATGACTAAATATCCTCTGATGTCAATGGAAATGTTTAATATTCAGCATGGTAACAATAAATTCCAACACCTTTAATAATATAATTGATTGGATTAAATACTAATTAAAGGAAACATTAATTTAAATACATACTTGACTTCCTGTTGACTGTTTGTGTATGTGCTTTTGTAGAAACCAGTTAATGAATTCGAAATATCTCCTTTAAATGATAACTGCAGTGTATAATCCACATTAGGTGTGAGAGATGAAGCTAATGTCAGAATTAGCCTGTCTCCAGTACTTTCTGTTATTGACAGGATTTTAATATTCCGGACCGTACTATGAGTTATTTGGGTGTCTATAGGTGTCATTGGAGTTGTCTCTGTTACATGAGTAGTGTCAGGCTCTATAGATATAGGTGTTTCAGTAACAATTGTTCCATTTTCAGTAGTTTCATTTCTCGTACTAGATTCTGTAATATTCTCTACAACTGTACTAGTAACATTATCTACTAATGGAACAGTAATATTCTCACTGATATCTCGTTTTGATCTACCAAGTAATACATCAAATTTCTCATATATTTGCTCTGTGAGTTTAGCGTCTGCATTAATACTGAGGTTTTTGGAGTGCAATATTATCTCCTTAACTCTCTGATTGGCCCTGATCGTTATATACACTTCACCCGAGAAATTTGAATTCTCCAAGTCTGTGGTAAGTTTTAATCTATAGAAACTCGGTACCACACTGGAAGGGAGCCTAAGGTCTGGAGATGGTGAGTTCGCCAGGCCAAAGGGCTCTGTTTCATCCCAGAATTCTGTTGTTTGGCCATGAGAGATCTGAAAAGTGTATAATATTATAGATTAAGTTCAAATTTTATTACATTTTAAACTGACTAGTTTGCACTGATTATTGGTTGTACAAATATTATAGGTACCTGATAAACGAGACATAATATAGGGAACTTTAATAATTTCAGATAATAAATTAATTTTTGTATCATACAATTTTTCGATAGAGTAAATAAATAATTTATGACAGAAATTATCTGTATAAAATAGATTAATTATAAATTGTATATTAGATAAAGCATATAAAATATATTTTTGTACCGAGTATATATTATTACGTATATATTTCTTGATGTGAAAACTTGAATACAAATATTTCAGCGCAATAACGGCTAAAAGTTTAGGATAGTTATTTATAGATAATTAATGAAATTAATATCATAATTCTAAATGTATTAGAGAGAAAACATTATCTATTATTATTATTACTTACAGTTTTATTAATACCATTAACAATCGTCGAATTAAATATAATTAAAGCGATAAATAATCTCACACACATCTTCAAATTATAACAACGAAAATATCACAGGTAATGAATGAAACTTGTCACAGAAATATTTTAAATTAATAATTCTATCTCACATTTTGGTAATAATTGCGTTTATTACACAATATTCATATTATTTCATTATTTATATCGAATTAAAATTCAGCGTTTTCTTTAGCAATGGGTTGTCATTTTGACGTTTTACTTTTTTTAAATAGCAAAAGTCAAAAGATCGCTTGAGACGGGTCTCGTGAATTTGATATTTCGTTACTTCCGTCCCTGAACGTAGAGATAAAAGGGCACTATGATACAGATAGGCGGTTTTAAATTCGTTTTTTATGTATGATTGTCTATTTCAATGAAATTGATCTTGACTTTTAGGTCACTAGATATCGTTTTGTTTAATAATACTAAAATTAAGCGATGATATTTAACCGTACGTCACCGACTTCGCAAAGTTCTATAAAATAATGGTGATCATTGCTACGTGCTGAGATATTTAATGTCTACTAACGTTTGCAAAAACACTATGACTCATTTTATGAAAGACTTTTGGGCCATAAGTGCTCTCTATGCGACTAGCGGTACCTATTGGTCATTCCGGTACCTATTCTGTATACAGTTAAATTGCTATTATATACATTATTTTTATAATATTGACGCTATTACGTTATTTTTATAATATAACAGAAAAAAGAATTATTAATTGAACAAAAAAGATTTGCAATTTCACTATTACCTACGTTAACATTAAGCAGAATATATGAAAATTGGAATACCTATAGATATATATTTTAATAAAATATCAAATATGACCAATGATCACCCGAGTATCCATTTAATAAGTGAGTAAGCCCTCCTATCTCCCTTGTTATTGTAGACACCTAAGTATTATCCCAATAGTTAGGCGTCTAGTTACCCATTAGAGGAAAAATTAGATATTATTTGGTCGCAGAAAAATTAATTACATTGTAATAGTAGTAATATGTGTGAATTTATTTGCGAGCAACAAGTCTGAAGTCGTCTCCAACTCACGCTCGTATCATTCAGGTCTGATAGGCATCTTGTCACTAGTATAAAAAACTTTAACTTATATTCATCCTTTAAAGAATATATATATATATATATATATATATATATATATATATATATACACTAGATAATTATGTAAGTAGGTAGATAGACAGAAATAGTTTTTTTTCTAATAAATTCAATACAAGCAATTTTTTGATCAGTCATATATTTTATTTTATTGCTCATTCGGCTTTATTCAAATAAACTCAATATAAAAACTTTTGAATAGTCATATTTTTTTATTCTACCACTCATTCGGTAAGCAGAAGTATATACGATACTTAATTATACATTTACCAACCTTAAAATAAGTTATGAAGTATACTAAAACGCCAACTAGGGCAGCTACGATGACTGATAAGATCACCAAACTGACGCATACGCATGTAGAAACGAACATTCCGCCCTTTCTTCCATATTGGATGTCATCAGCGCCGTGCGACTCGTACGCCAAGAATTGCTGACGGCTGTTGGACAGCGTCATCTTGGCATATCATTCTGTAAAAAAAAGTTATGTCAGTATTTAAAACGATTTATTAAGCTGCAGTATTTTTTTTTATTGATTTGATCTGTGCCCGCGACTTCGTCCGCGTTGAATAGACGACGAATGCCAATTTGCCATACTTTCATCCCCTATTTTATTTTACTCCCTGAGGGTAAAGTTTTTATAGACTTTGAATGTGATATTTATTTATATTTAATTAACTTTAAAAATGATGATTCTTCCGTATGGAAGAATTATCAAGGTTGCATATCATTTTCAACCCTTTTTTCGTATTAAAAATAGCTTATGTCCTTATATTAGTATTACTTAGTATTTCTCAGGGTCGAGACTATTTGTGTACCTACCAAATTTCATTTAAATCGGCTCAGTAGTTTTGGCGTTAAAGCGAGACAGACAGACAGATAGACAGGGTTATTTTAGCTTTTATAATATTAGTAAGGATTGTATGGTGTACCCGCCTTGGATAATGATATACGTTGGCGGGGCACCAGTAAAGAATAACATATACACGAGGTCAGACCAGTTAGTCTATTATGACCAATTTTTCTTCAGGCATTAATCACGAAGGTTTCCGGGAAGACAGTGGAGTTCAACCTGAAGTGGTACATTGACAGCAATGTTACTACCACGAAGAATAGACGTGGAACAAGCGATTTCTTTGATAACGATAATATTATCTGTCTAAGTTCTAGTATTTATTATATTATTGATGATGAAATGTTGCTCCCGCTTGCGCGAAAGTCGAATTGACCCGAAATTAAACAAGCGGTTTCCAGAGGCCAGTGGTGTATTACGGCTCTGGATGTAAGTCTTTTTGTGGCTTAATAATATTAGATATAGACTTTAATGATATTATAAGGATAATAGTAATCTCGGGACAATTCAAACAGCGCCATCTAGGCCCATGTTAAGCTAGCTAAAACTTGTGTTATGGGCACTAGACAACTGATACAAATACACAGATTTTTTTTGCAAATATTATACATACATATTATAGATAAAAAACACCCAGACCGATACAAACAACAATGTTCATGAATACAATTGTTTGTGCTAAGAATCGAACCCGCGACCATCGGACGTAAAGCGGTGTATTAATCCGCTAGACCATCCAGGTCGTCAAATATTACTTACAAAATGGCTACATAGCCGTAGTGGCCGTCGTAGTTGAGTTATTACTTTGGGTTAATAGGTGGGTAATGGTTTGAATCTTTCATCTGTTAAATTGATTAATCTGCTGCATTTGAGAATTGTTGTCGTTTTGTTATTCTATTACAGCTTTTTATTTGAAGTGACAAGTTATTTTGTGTTACATCTTAAAACTATTATAATTGCGGAAGTTTGTGAGTGTGGATGGATGTTTGTTACTCTTTTACGCAAAAACTACAGAATAACACATAGGCTATAAATTTCACGCGAGTGAAACCGCAAGCACAGCTAGTAAATAATAATGCGATAGTATTATCTACAGTCCATATTTCTCAAATATTTACCTATTTATGTTTAAATAAAAAAAAATGTACTTTTATAAATTTTATGACACACTCATAATATACACCTTTTTTTGCGTCGGGTTCAGTAAAACGATTATGAAGAAAGTTCAGATATTATTATTTTAATGATTTTTTTTATCATTATATTCATTAAGTTATATGATAATGTACGTATTGGTAAAAAAAGAATTTTTCAAATCGGTCTTATAGTTTCGAAGCCTATTCAATACAAACAAATAATAAAGTATTTCTCCCTCCTTATAATAAATATGTAAAGTTTAATATGTATATTGTTGTAGTCCAGAAGTCGTATGTTTTTTGGTTGTTATTAAATAAAAAAAATAGTTAACTCCCATACATAAAGGGCTGGAACAAGAATATTGCTTCAAGAAAAAAAACTGTAAATTTCGTATGTTGCTGGCCGTACATGAATATAATCCACTATACGGTGTAGTGGTCACGGAGGACGGTTGGATTAAGTAAACACGTCACCGATAGCTCAAACTTCAGGGAATGAGCAAAGTGAGCAGTGTACTGCATCACGTTACTCACAGTTTAGAGTTCAGGGAATGAGCAATAATAATAGATATACCTATAAGTATTGTAAATTAGACTTTCGTCTGTCGTTTCATCGGGATCGAATGGGTGATGTAACTTTGAACTGACGTACAATTTTCGGTAAAATTTGAAATATCTTCTATTTGGTTTATTAACGAGTGATAACGTTAAAAATTTAATAATTGTTACAACTTACAAGAAACGTATTAATTTTGGGCTCGAATTATTACCTACTTAACAAATATAAACAGTTTGATGTAATTTGACATTTTTAAAATCACATCAAACTGCGCTGTTTCAAGGTTATGTCAACTGTTTGTTTTTGTAGTGATGTGACCAAAGCGACCTGAGCGGCTGGACTTTAGTAACCGTTTTTTTAATGGATGCATGGGCAGCCGCCTGCGTTATCGGATTAAGATGGTGGGGCCCCAGTGGAGAAGAACTACAAAATAGGTATGTTAGTTGAAAAAAAAAACCATATTTGAAATAAAAGAATAAGGGCAAAATCATAGCTACACTCTTTATTTTTGTATTCAGGTACACTTCAAATAATTATGACTGACTGATTAGTTAAATAACTATTTATTTATTTCAATTTTGTTACTTTGCTGATTGTTATCACACAAAATTCTTAAAAATGTAATTCTGAACAATATTTATTTAAAAGAGCAACACGCAAGTTTCTATCTCATTCTTCTTGTGTTGAGTCTGCGTAGAATTAAATAAACCTAAATAAAGGTGCTTCTGGTCTGCTCTGATAACTATGATTTATTTAGTTATACAATTATTTATTTATTTATATCAACTTTGTTACTTAGCAGATTGTTTTCATACATTATTCTTAAAAATGTAATTCTTAACAACATTTATTTAAAAGAGCAACACGCAAGTTTCTTACTCATTCATTTTGTGATTCATTCTGCGTTCCGTATTAGCGGTAGAATTATGAAAATAGAACTATTCAAAAGCGCTTATATTTAGTTTATTTGAATAAATAATTTCTATTTCTAATTTAAAGAACTTGATAACGGTTGTTGAAGCTCGTTTTGTTGCACTCGTTATCACCAACGTTCACGCGAGTATACAAATCAAAATGACTGAGATTCATCATAAATCAGGTAGACGTAGACTCCACACAGTGGTGAAAGAATGATGAAGATGTATGAAATCTATTCACACAGGTACCATTGTGAAAGCCTGCGTCCTCTGACATATATTGGGAGTTGTTTGTTATAAAAATACGTGGTTTTTGTGTCCGTGTTTCCACAATCAATTCTTTGATGTTGCTTTGATGAAGGTTTAAGCCGATTTCTTTGGGCCTTATGACAGCTTACTTAAATAGTGAAAGGTTGGATATAGTTGTATATATACTTAAAAATAATGTACCATTTTCTCATAACAAAAAAATGAAAGAAAAATAAGCTTGCTGCTTTTTTAAATAAATGTTGTTTTAAATAAATAGATCTTGATAATGCTACTAAAGGTTTGACGGTCTCGGCGGTCTAGTAGTATAGCACACCGCTTTACTTCCGATGGTCGCGGGTACGATTCCGCATACGGTGCAAACATTTGTATTCATAAGTGTGATTGTTTGTATCGGTCGGTTGTTTTATGTATGTATTTATAAAAAAATATCTAAGTATTTATATCAGTTGTCTAGTACAGATAACACAAGGTCTGCTTACTTGACTAGATTGCGCTTGGTTACTTAAAGGTATTTTGCTCGAAGCCAGAATTAGGTCTTATTCTCGGTTTCATGACAAATCCACCACTTTATAATAAAAAAAAACAAAATTAAATAATAGCACTATTATAATAAAAAAAACAAAATTAAATAATAACACTATTATAGAAACCGCAAATTGTATTATTGAGTATTGTAAAAAATCTTTGCGGTTTCACTAGTAGCATTAGGTATACTGTGGTTTTACTGACAGCCATACTATACCTATATAGTCAAATATTCTAAAATTTATCTGTTTGTCAGTCTATTTAATATCTGCTCACGATAAAAAACTAATCTTATTAAAGTTATCTTTTCTAAAATAACGGACGAAGCCGTGGGTAATAAGTAATTGCATACCTATATTTTTTAAACAATTTATATTGATTTTATGAGAACAGTAATGATCGAATATTTAACATAGAACTATCGAATATTTTTTTTTTCAAAATATTCAAATTGCACTATCTCTAACGGCCGCCGTATCAGCTTCACCGCCGATAGAGGGCGAGTGCAGATGGCACTCCAAAACCCCGCGGAAGGACTTATGGAGCGGCTGAGGGCTAACTTCTGCCTGACGGATACGACCTTAGTCTGTGGGCACCGTTAGGTGTTCGAACCCCGGCTCAGGCTGTCTTAATTTCGATCCCCGTTTTATATTGGACGGGGGGATCGATCAGTTCATTACAGCAAATCGAGTGTTAACAGCAATAAACAGCAAGTGGTTGAACGAGAACAAAGCGTATAATAGCTATAAATATTAAAAAATCTTACCACAATATAAAAGAGTGTTTTTAAATAATGTAACTAATTTATCATTATATTAAATTCAATATTGACTCAATAAATAGCTATTTTATATAGTATAAATGTATTTATATTAATGTGTAATATTCTCTAAATTCACTTAAACACTGAAAGAATGAGAGCAGAGCATATAAAGTTAACAATATTATTGTAATAACGTAGTATGTGTGTCAGACACTTTGCGTCAATAGTAAAACCGGTGTATTGATTATATTGACCACAACTTGTGTTATAAATACAGAACTTACGGTTTTAGTGAATTATTATTGTAGTTTTATTTTATACTAGCTTTTGCCCGCGGCTTCGCTCGCGTTTATTTATCCCCTTAGGGGTGAAATTTATCAAAATCCTTTTTAGGGGATGCCGACGTCATACCATCTACCTGCATGCCAATTTTCAGCCCGATCCGTCC